GTAAGTGGGAGATGCCATTCCTGCCTGTTTCAACATTAACTTTGTGGGGCCTGGGTCTCTGCTTGTTTCATGCTGTGGATCTTCCCTTCCCAGCTGGGCTCTAGGTCCTGGAGGGCTCACTGCACGCCTGCACCCAACCAGGGCACGACAAGCCTTCTCTGGGCCCCTTCTCCAGGGAAAACAAGAGGAAATCAAGGGTGCTGATGTCAGCAGAGGCTCGTGGACTGTCCATGGGAGAGAGTAGGGACCAAGACCTTGCCCCTCCTCTCTCCTCTGTCCCTGTCCTTCTGAGAGCCCCTCGTCATCTTTCTGTGCCTCGTGTGTCCTGCCTCGCCCGGGCCCGGACCACACTCACGTCCCTCCTGCCTTTGTTTCCCCAGACTCTGAGAAGTGGCCAGCTGAATGGAGTACAATGAATGATCTCCTCTAGTCTGGGCTGTGGGAGGAAGGGGAAGTGAGGGAGGCTAACTGGGGGTGCTTGGTGGGGGACGGGCAATCTGGATAAGAGCCAGGTTCACAAGGCAGACGGACATGAGTGTGGTCCAAGTCCTGTCCTGGAGGGAATGAGAGCCTGTGAGGTGACCCCTCTGAGCCTTAGTCTGTTCCTCTGTCAGATGGGAATCAAATTCCTTCATCTCACAGGATTGCTGTGAAAAGTGAAGGTAACACACAAGGCAATTTCCAGCGTCCTTGCCCCAGGGCAGTGGTTCTCAAACTTCAGCAGGTCAGGCTGGGGCCTGAGAATTGGCATTTCCCACCAGGTTGATACTGCTGGCCAACACTGTGATACCTGTGAGGGGTATGACTAGGTCATACGGTAGATGTATCTTCAACTTTTAAAGGTGTGGCCAAAGTAGTCATACCATTTCACATTCCCACCAGCTGTGTATGAATGTTCTGGTTGCTCCATGTCCTTGCCAACAGTTAGTATGGTTGGTCTATTAATGTTAGCCATTTAATAGATGTATGTTGGTATCTCACTGTGGTTTTCACTTGCACTTCCCTAGTGACAAGTGATGTTATACATCCTCTCATGTGTTTGTTACCTACATATATTCTTTAATGAAGTATCTATTCACATCCTTAGCTCATGTTTTTAATTGGAATTTTGTTTTCCTGTTAAATTTTGAGAGTTCATTGTACATTCTGTATACAAGTCCATTGTCATTTACATGACCTGCAAGTATTTCTTGTCTGTATCTTGTCCTTCATTTCCTTGATAGTATCTTTTGAAGAACAGAAGTTGTTCATTTTTATGAACTACAATTTTTAAATATCTTCTTTTATGCTTTTGGTGTTGAAGCTAAGAAATCTTTGCCTAATCCAAGATCACAAAGCTTTTCTCCTATGTTTTTCCTTTAGTTATATAATTTTAGGACTTATTTAGGCCTACAATTCACTGAGTTCATTTTTTTATATAGTGCAAGGTATGGATTTAAGGATTTTTAAAATATATTAATAAAAGTCAAATTGTTCCAGTACCATTTGTTTAAAAGACTACCTTTTCTTCACTGAATTGCCTTTTCCTCTTTGTTGAAAATTAATTGACTATAAATTGCTGGCCTCTTTCTTTCCTTTCACATTGATGTGAAAATGTCTTGATTACAATAGCTTTATAAGAAGTCTGAAAGTCAGGGTAAATCCGCCAACATTTTTCAATTGCAGAGCTTTTTGTAGCTTTTTTAGGTACTTTGAATTTCGATAGGAATTTTAGAAATGACTTGTCAATTTCTAAAAAAAAAAAAAACTTACCGGGATTTTTATTGAAATTGTGTTAAATCTACTTATTATTGGGAGGAGAGCTAACATCTTACTAGTACTGAGTCTTCTCATGTAAGAAGTATCCGCTTGTTCGTCTTCTTTTTCAGCAATATTTGATAGTTTTCAGTGTTCAGATCTTGCACATTTTCTGTCATATTTATTCCTACATATTTTATATCACTGATAATATTATAGCATTGTTCTTATTTCAGTTTCTAATTCTTTGTTGTTAGTATATACAAATACATTTGATTCTTTTGTATTGATCTTGTATTCTGCAACCTTGCTTAATTCACTAATGGTTCTAGTAACTTTTTTGTGGATCCCACTGTCTTCTACATAAACAACCAAGTCATCTGTGAATAAAGACACTTTTTACTTCTTCCTTTCCAATCTGTTTGTCTCAATTATTGTACCTGCAGGATTTTAATTTACAGAGAGGACTGAGTGATGATTCACAGAGGTTAATGCCACTGAAAGAAGATTTTCATTACTTACATTTCCCAAAGAGGGTATTACCTATAAGGTACACCACCCATTATATGTGGGGAAGCACCAGAGTCATTCAAGAAGCAGAAACAAGAATGAAGATAAAGAAAACACAGCCTTTCTTATGCTTTCTGTGGGAAAAGCAATGCAGGAGAGGTAGACAGTTTGAGATTAGGTAGTTGGAATGATTCTGGTTGACTTTGGGCTATAGATAGTGCCTGGTACCTGGCCATGAATTGATTTAAGGCAGGAGAAATACTAGGTTGGTGTATGAGAGTTAGAGAAGGGCGGTGGTTTAGAGTATGAGCTCTGGGGTGGTTAGTTTGTATAATGAAAGGCACGCTGCTAGGAATCTCTATGGCATCTCTAAGAATTAGCATTAACTCCCTGGTCCATTAGGCCCCAGCTGTGAGAGCATCAAAAACACAAAAAATAAAATACAGTTAGCAAAATTGACCTTGTGATGAATGTATGCCAAACAGAAAAATAGAGGAAAAAATTTTTTTAGATATTTAAAAAATACGGTTAGAACAACTTTGTTCCTTACTTTATTGCATGAACTAGAACCTTCCAGCACAATGAATGGAGGTAGTGAGAAGAGATGCCTTTGCCTGCTCCCTAACCTTGGCGGGGAAACAGGAGGTGCCATGGAGGGGGAAGGGGTGGGGCAGTGATGGACGTGGTCAATGGGGAAAGGAGGATGGGAGCTTGGGAGAGTGAGGAAGACCTGAGGCAGTGGGTCTCGCGCTGTGGTGCACGGCTCATAGCCCTCACCCGTCCCTGCTGCGGATCACACAGCTTCTGGCCTCTCCCTCAGGGCCACCCGCTGGGCTAAAGAGCTGCATTTAGGTCCTGCTCATGTTTAAATCACACAGCTCCAGGCCCTTCCCTCCCACAAGGCCCTTCTCCTCCTCCTCCTCTGGGAGTGGAGCCACAGTGCCAGGCAGAATCCCAGGCCCTGGATTTCCTGTTAGGGGGAAGGAGGATGACTGCACGCCATCACCGAGCAGAAACCACACATCACAAACCCTCAATTATGGGGGCCCAACTGGGGTCTAAGAGCCCGAACATGATGTAAGATGTTCAACTTGCATCCAGGGAGACTTTATGTGGAAGCAACAGGGCCTAAGGGCACCTGACAGTCAGTGCTCTGCAAAGTTACCCAGAGCCTCTTTTGTAAAAGTTCTGTGCTGTCAAACAGAGTAGGCCGTGGGGCCCCCTGGTAGGATCCAGCTGCCTCCTCTGAAAGCCAGGCAAGCAAGAGGCATTCCAAGTCCCAAGCCAGTGGGGTGAGGCCAAAATGGAACCCAGGGCTCACCCCCCACAGGTACTCTCTGAAGGCACTGCCAAGAAGCCAGCAGGTCCCTGTCCTCCTCTGCACACATTTCCAACTGTTAGAATTCGGCCCAAGCACCTTTCACAGCCCAAAGGACTCTGTGATATGATTTTGTGCCTCAGTTTCCCCTGGGTGAGATGGAGACAAGGATACATCCACCACAGAATGCTGTAAAGCTGAAAAAGAGAAAATAGATGTAGGTAGGGCCTGACTCGGATAAGAGGGTTCCATGAAAATGTAGAAACTTTCCTCTCAGGCCTGGGAGGAGGGGTAAGAAAAGCAGATATGGAGGGCAGGGGCCACTTGGCTGGCCATGGGAGAAGCATGGAAGAAAACTATTAGGGTTGGACGAAAAACTAAACGGGAGAAAAGAAGTCGTTCTGCTCACTCCCACCTCTAGAACTGAGGCCGCTTCCTGTGATGAAATCATGTCCTTCCACCCCCGTGGTCCATTCAGTAAGTCAATGCTGACTCAGCCTGCAGAGGCTCAAACAGCCTCATTCTCAGCCAGCCCTGGGGGTCACCAAGATGACCAGCCCCCCGTGTCTCACCCCACCCAGCACCAGTCACAGCTGGCAGTGTCTCCCTCAGAGATGATCCCAGGGACTGTCACCAGGATGACCCATGACTGCTCTGACCTTCCTCCTCTCTGTCCAGGGAAGGCCCTGCATGAGCCAGGGGCTCACAGCTGCAGATGGAACCCCCTGAGGAGTGTTATTAACTGCAGCCTCCTGGGGGTCACCTCCCAGAGATCTGCACTCAGAGGGTGAGGCCCAGAGAGTCTGAGGTGCAACCAGGAGGAAGCTTCCAGAGGGAGCAGAAGGCTCTGTGGGCTCAGCAGGACTGGAGCTCAAGGGCTGGTCCCACCGCTCAGAGTCCTGGACATGGGCCTTGGTTCTGCCTGAAGACTGGGAGGGGGAGACACTAGGGGAGCCCCTGCCTGGAGGGAGAGGGGCCCAGAGCAGGCTGGTGGCCCCGTGTCTGAGGGGGGCTGAGCGTGACCGCCAGGGGCTCCCCCCTGCTCCTCCCTGAGGGGCTGCAGCGGGGACCCGGGCCCACCTCTCCCTGAAGGAGCCTGAGCTGGTCCTGCTGCCGCCCCTTCCCCTGGGAGGAGAGACACAGAGACGACTAGCCAGGGAGATGTGAGGCGGGAGACAGGAGCTGAGGGGGGGAGGCCCAGCGGGCGCAGGTCAGGACCAGCCCCCAGCGTGAAGACGGGGGCGGGGAGCCCCAGACCATGGCTCCCTCTGCACTGACCACAGGGAGGCCCTTTTGCAATAAAGGAAAAGAAGCAGCCAGGTTGATGAAGGAAGTGCCCGTCACTGTCGGGGTGGGCGGGTTTGGGGAAGGCCCCCACCCTCCTCCGTCCTCTGGAGGAGCCTGGTCCTCACTCCTGGTGCTGAGTCTCCCCCAGGGCCCCCACAGGCCTCCCGTCTGGCCTTGAGGGCTCTGCCTGTCCTCTCACCCGGGAGGGGGGCAAGGCCATGGGGCTGCCCCTGCTGCTCCTGGCGTCTCTGCAGGCTGGTGAGTGGCTGGGCGTGTCCTGCTCTGCCAGGGACCCCAGGGAGGGGCTGTGGCCTGGTGTGTGTAGAAGGGTCCCCTGGGGTAGCTGACCAGGCCTCCCACCCCCAACAAACAGAAGGGGTCCCACAGTGCTGGGTCTCCCAACCCCTGACCCTCCTGCCTGCCCCAAGCCTGGAGAGGGGATCACCCAGGCCAGAGGGCCAGTCCTACCCCCTGTCACACACCCGCTGCGGGTGAGGGTGCCCGACGGTCTGGGGTCACCCTCTGTGTCTCTCCTGGTGGCTTCAGAGTCTCTTCCTCCCTCCTCTAGGTCACTGGGCACAGACAAATCCAGAGCCTCTCTTTGAGATGAAGCAACCAAGAGAACTCTCAGCCCCCGAGGGCGGCTCCATTCACATCCCCTTCTCCTTCTTTCACTCCTGGGCATTAGCCAAGGATCCCAACGTGAGAATATCCTGGAGATGGAAACACTTCCATGGGGAGTTCATCTACAACACAACCCCTCTGTTCATCCACGAGGATTTCAAGAACCGGCTCTTCCTGAACTGGACACAGCGTGAGAAGACCGGCTGCCTCCGGATCTCAAACCTGAGGAGGGAGGACCAGTCTGTGTACTTCTGCCGGGTGGAGCTGGTCACACTGACACACGGCAAGCAGGTGTGGCAGTCCATCAAGGGGACCAAACTCACCGTCACCTCCGGTGAGTCCAGCTGTCCCTGAGGCTCTTGGAGGCTGTTGGTACCTTGTAATTCATGCCTGGTCCAGGCCCCCTCCTCCTGACTTTTCTCAAACTCCTCTCCCTTCCCCTCCTACTCCTCCCCAGGCCTCTACCAACTTTACCTTAATCTTCCCCAGCTCTGGGCTGCCTCCCTTGCCCATCCCCCTCTCTGCCCTCCAGGTCCAGCCCCTCCCCCATCCCCAGGCCCCCGCACCCTCTGTGCTCCCAGCTGTCCTCCCTTCCCTCTGCAAGCTGGGCTCCACCCGGCCCCTGCCCGTGCCCCACGTCCTCCAGGTGACTTGACATCTCGGGGTGCGGCTCCTCCCCTTTGCCCTGAGTCCTGTGTGGAGCCCCAGCTGCCTCATATCTGTCCCCCAATAGCCATGAGCTCAGCCCGCACACACAGCAGGTGCCAAGGGGCCCCATGTCCCCATCACCTGATTTCCCATCTCCCCTTCCTTCTCTGCTCTGCCCCCCAGAATATGAGTCTCCAGACCCCCACCTCCATCCCATCTCTTTCCTCCTCCCTCCATCCTCTTTACCTCCTTGCCTCCCCCCCCCCCCCGCCATGTGGTTCCGGTCACCCTGTCCCCGTGTCCACCCTGACCTTGCCCCTGTCCTGGTCATGATGAGGCAGCAGTCCCGGCAGCTCCCCTGACTGTGCCCGGCATCCCGGGGGGACACCTTGGCAGCACCGGCCCAGCTGACCTCCCCCAGGACCCCCAGTACAGCGGCCCTGCTGCCGTCCTCCCGTCACAGGAAGGGGAACCGAGGCTCACACGGCAGACGTCACTTGGCCCCGTCACTCCTGGTGCAGGTGGGGGTCTGACCCCAGCTTAACCCAGGGCCTCCCTTCTTAACCAGGAGCTGCTTGGCCTCACCTCCTGACCTGTCATCTTGTTGTCTTGACTATTTTTAACCTAACAATGGATGTGTAGCATCTGTCACTCAGTGGGGCGTTGGAACTTGAACAGTGTATCTGACTCCAGGGTAGAGAGGAGGGGTTCTCTTCTAGGCACAGGCAATAAAAGAGTGTGTTATCTGTAGATAATTTTTTTGAAAACTGAAAATCAATTATGTTTGTCTGCTTTTTGCAGTCACTTGTGCTGGTGATTCTAAGCAGTATCTGAAAAATTTCTGCTCCCGGTGGGGATGGTCATGTTCATTTTTACAGGGAAGTAATAAAAAGAAATATTTTTAATCCAAGTGAAGTACCACCATGCAAAACATCATGCCAGAGGAATATATATAGCAAATATATCTCATAAGTTTGAAAGTGGCTTATTAATTTTTAAACAAATAGTTTTATTTATGTAGCCAAATCTAATTATATTCTCAATTTGTAGTTTTTCTTTTATTTCTAAACCCAAAACCCCACATCCCACTAGAGTTAAAATATTTTTTTCCTAATATTTGTAAGATCTGATTACTTTTCACACAAAAGCTCTTATATATAGATTCATCTTGGTAAATGGGGCTCAATAAAGAACTAAGTTGATCCTTATACCAAGAAACAAATCAACTTGTTTTCACTTTATTTATTGAATATTTTTTCCTTTTTCCACTGATTAATAGGCCTAAGCTTTTAAGTTCTTTTGTAGAATAGTGTCCATTTCTCTGTCTATTCTGTTTCACTAGTCTATGTTTTTTTTTTTTTTTAGTATTCATTTATTTGGCTGTGCCAGGTCTTAGCTATGGCACGCAGGATCTTCATTGTGTAGGGGATGCAGTTGTGGCATGCAGAGCCTAGTTCCCAGACCAGGGGTGGAACCTGGGCCCCCTGCACTGGGGGCGCAGAGTCCTATCCATTGGACCACCAAGGAAGCCCCTATATTTTGTTGTATTAGTACCACACTGTTTTAGTTATTATAACTTTATCATGCTTCAATGGCTGTTAAGACTTTTTCCATCACAACCACATTACTTCCTTCTCAAACTTCATTAGTGTTGCCTGCCTATTCTTCCACACAAATATTAGAATAAGTTTGCCAAGTTTCTAGAAAAACATTCCTGTTGTTTTTTAAAATCAGAATTGCATTAAATCTATAAAGTAACTGACAGAAATTTAAATCAGTATAATGCACAATCTTTTCAGTGAGGAACAGGTCCTATTTTATATCCCTAAGTAAACCTTTGTAGTGTTCTTCCAAAGATCCTGTGTCTCATAAGACTTTCATATTCCTTATTTTTATTATTAATGTGCAATATGTTAAAAAATGTGTACTTGATATAATTTTCACTCTAAAAGTAGTGCATAAATTCTGGCCAAGATGCTAGGTTATATGCATATATTTATCTCCACTCCCTCCAAAAATCTACTAAAATGACAGCAAAGGGAATTTTTTTAAAGACAAAAACCCAGAGGGACAAAAACATTTGCAAGTTAGGTGGACAAAAACAAAATTTTGGAAGCGGGAAATAGACCAGAGGATTTAAACCCTAAGTCAACAGTGGGGACATCCAGAAGGAAGGCAATTTACACTGCAAACCCCCTTAAAGGGTCAGGAATAGCAACTCCTAGTACCCATGAAACTGAGTGTGGAAGGGGATCTGAAAACTAGAGGACTAACTGAAATGTATTTAGGAAGCAGAGACACCTCCGCACCCTCACACCTCACCCCAGCAAAAGACTGGATATATGAGTTCTAGAAACAGTAATACACAGGGAGTCTTGGGGGGGTACCCTGGGGCATAACTGGGGACAAGGGTTCAGTTCTTAAATTCAGAGATTTGGTGAACTGATGAGACCTGAAATACCTTGACCCTTGTAGAGGCCTCGCAGGACGCAGGCAGCCAGGCTGGTACTCCCACACCACACCCACCAAGGGCAGACAATCAGGAAACTCTTCTCCGGAATAGCTATCTGATGGGCCTGGAAAGATCTAGAAATCTAACAGATCACTCATTGTAGAGTGAGTCATGCTGTCTTACTCACTGTAAAGTGATCTGAGATGCACTTTCTGCTATAACACACTCACAGCTTCGTGCATGTTGGGAGCCAAGGGGACAGGGTGGCTGGGGTCTTGGCCTTGTACCAAATCCCCTGCAGTGAGGACTGGACCCTCACCTCAGCTGTGCCCAGGATGCCTGAGGTAGACAGTCTGTTTTTAAAAGCTTTGAACTAAACATTTAAGGAATGCTTGTCTCATGAGATGCAGAGAGCAGATCAAGGGGGAAGGGAACCTGGAAGAATCCAAAAACAATGAAAGGAGATTAAAATTTTCAAAGAACTATCATCTTCATAAAGTTAAAGAATTTCATGTATATGACACTATAGAATGCTTTGCAAAGGAGCTTTCAAAACAAAAAAAGAGATCTTAGAAATTAGAAGTATACTAGCAAAGATGGAAAACTCAATATATGATTGAAAGATGAAGTTCATGGAACTACCTTAAAAGGTGGGAGAAAACTGAAAGATTTGGATATTGTAGTTCAAGAAACTTCAAAGAGTTGCATATTGTAGTGGTTTGAACAGTGGCCCCCAAACAAGTGAATAACATCTTATATGGCTGCAGATGTGATTCAGTTGAGGAATTTGAGATGAGGAGGTTATCTGGGATTATCTGGGTGGACTCTAGATGCTAATAAACATGTCCTTATAAGAGAGGGGCAATGGGAGACTGGACACAGATGGAAGATCAGGCAATGTGACCACAGAGGCAGAGACTGGGATGAAGCAGCCATTAGAAGCCAAAGTAGCAAGGAACAGACTCCCCCTGCACAGAGCCTCCTGAGCGATGCAGCCTGGCTGACACCTTGATTTCTGCCTTCTGGCCTCCAGAACTGTAAGCAAGTAAACTTTTATTGTTTAGAATCACCCAGTTTGCAGCAATTTGTCATAGCAGCCTTAGAAATATAATACAGGAATTATAAGGAAGGATAAGACAAATTGAGAATTGGTCCAAGAGTTCCAATCTCTGAACAACAGAAGTTTTAAAAGCAGAGAAAAAAGAAGGCCATGGGGAAGAAAATATCAACAAAACTACTACAGAAATTTTCCAGAATGAAAGAACCCAACAACATGAGTAAAAATAAAAATACCAACCCTGGGGTACTGCAACATAAAAATTTCAAAACACCAAGGATAAGTTCAGTTCAGTCACTCAGTTGTGTCCAACTGTTTGCAGCCCCATGGACTGCAGCACATCAGGCCTCCCTGTCCATCACCAACTCCCAGAGTTTACTCAAACTCATGTTCATTGAGTCGGTGATGCCATCCAACCACCTCATCCTCTGTCCCCTTCTCCTCCCACCTTCAATCTTTCCCAACATCTGGGTCTTTTCAAATGAGTCAGCTCTTCACATCAGGTGGCTAAAGTATTGAAGTTTCAGCTTCAGCATCAGTCCTTCCAATGAATATTCAGGACTGACTTCCTTTAGGATGGACTGGTTGGATCTCCTTGCAGTCCAAGGAACTCTTAAGAGTCTTCTCCAACACCACGGTTCAAAAGCATCAATTCTTCGGCGCTCAGCTTTACAGTCCAACTCTCACATCCATACATGACTACTGGAAAAACCATAGCCTTGACTAGACGGACCTTTGTTGGCAATGGTTTTTGTGGTAATGTCTCTGCTTTTTAATATGCTGTCTAGGTTGGTCATAACTTTTCTTCCAAGGAGTAAGCATCTTTTCATTTCATGGCTGCAGTCACCATCTGTAGTGATTTTGGAGCCCCCCAAAATAAAGTCTGTCACTGTTTCCACTGTTTCCCCATCTATTTGCCATGAAGTGATGGGACCTGATGCCATGATCTTAGTTTTCTGAATGTTGAGCTTTAAGCCAACTTTTTCACTCTCCTTTTTCACTTTCATCAAGAGGCTCTTTAGTTCTTCTTCGCTATCTGCCATAAGGGTGGTGTCATCTGCATATCTGATAAAGGGAGATCCAATACATTTCCAAGGAGGGAAGAAACTGGCCACATAAAGAGAGTCAGGAATTAAGAGTGGCTTGGCTGTCTCAATAGCAATAGAGGACAGTGAAAGGCAACAGCTGAGTGTCATGAATCTCCAAGGGAAAATTATTTTGTTTAATCCTCTAACAAATCAAATAGCAAATATTGATTGAGTGCCTGTTATGTGTCAGGTCCTAAGCTGGGCACTGAGGAAAGAGCAGTTAAGACAATACAGAACAAAACATAAATGTCCTTAACCAAGGAACTTACACTTGAGTGTAGAAAGAATATCACACACAAAAAAACACAAATTAATTACGTGTGTCAGGTGGTAGTGAAAAGAGAAAAGCAGGAAAATGAAGCAGAATCAGTGGCTAGAGGTGCTAGGGTGCTGCTTTATTCAGATAGAACAGGAAGGCCGCTGGGACATAAGTCAGAGTCCTGGTAGGAGGCAGCTGCTCCAACAGGGTATCAGAGTTTTGATGGGGGGCACAGGGTAGGGAAACCAGTCAGGGACAGTGAGACCCCTGGGACCAGCCACAGGCCTAAGAAGCAGGGGAGGAAGTAGGTTCTGGGACCTAGAAAGGATCTGTGGCCTCTGGGGAGAGAGAGAGTTCTGTGTCCATTCAACTGGTTGAAGGACGGCCAGACAAGTTGCTGAGACATTATTTCTGAGTGTCTCTGTGAAAGTGTAGAGAGATTGTCCCAGTGTGGAGAGAGGAGGTCCCAGGGTTCAATCCCACACTCACTTCCCAGATAAGCCTGTGATTTAGAATGTGAGGTTAATGCCAAAAAATAGCAAGAGGTACTAAAAACAGTTCCATCTGGGGAGTGGGAAAGGAGTGAGGAGGGGGTGTTGTTTTTATAACCTGTGGGGAATTTGTAGATTCTTTAAATTATGTGCCTATACAACTATATAAAAATAGATGTTACATTTAAAAAATAAAAGTACTGGTAATACATACTTGCACATAGTTTTAAAAACAGTCAAACAGCACAAAAGGGAATCAAATGAAAAACACATTCCTCTCCCCTTTATCTCTCAGCTACTACCCCTTTCTGCAGAAATGCTCTCTCCACAGATAAGAGATACAGATACAGATGTACAAGAGATGGAACATAATAGACTCAAACTGCACACTCTCCTGATCTTCAGCTTGCTATGTTTATTTCATGGACCTGAAGTATCTTTCCACTTCAGCACATATACATCTATGCCTTTCTTTTTAAATGACTGCATGGTCTCCCACTGTAGCAATGGATTGTAGTTCACTTAATCAGTCTCATATTTAAAGACATTTAGGCTGCTACCAAATCACAAATAAAGCTGCAGCGAACACCCTCAAACACAGGCCTTTGAACACTTGTACCAGCACGTCCATCGGGTAATTTCCTAGCACAGAAATCACTGAGTTTAAGGGCGTGCTTGGATATTTTACAGATACACCCAAACCTTTCTCAAAGGTTGTGCCAACCTGTACTCCCATTGTGTCGATACTAGGTATTTTCCCCTGACTCAGGTCAGTTTAAAACAAAAATAGCCTTTTATCCTTTTAATCTACATTTCTAAAAGTTATAAATGATTATTAACATCAGGATTATGTTATCATTTTATGAAATGAATTAGAATTGTACCGTTTTCCATATTTTTCTGTTCTAGAATCTTCTGAGAATTATCTGTTCCTTAAATATTCACAAGAATTTTTCCATTAAATCTTCTGAACTTGAAATCTTTATGAAAAATAGTTCTTTAATAGTGTTCTTAATTTCTTCTTTGTCTAATCCATTAAAGGTTACTATTTCTTAAATGTATTTTTAAAAATTATTATTTGTCTCAGAAAAATCATCCATTTCACACAGGTTTTTAGAATTATCAACCTATAATTGAGCACACACTCACTCATGATTTCAATACTCTTTGTTGTTGTTCAATTTACAAGAGTCTTGTCTGTTTCCTTCTTGTTTTCTTTCCCTCTAACCACTTTCTGCATTTATTATTCTTTCTGCTGTGCTGTTTCCTAAAAACATTTATTCCTATGTAGGTTTTCATTACTTTTAGTTTCCTTAGAGCTAGCTCCTCTCTGTTTGGTAACTTTTTTCTTTGGATATTGACTTTTTAAAACTTTCATCCTATTTTAAATAATTATAGCATCATTCATTCATTTCAAAACTTTCATCCCATTTTAAATAATTATAGCATCTAATACTATGAATTTAGCTTAGAGTTTGGCTTTAGTCATATTCCAGTCCATGGGGTCGCTAAGAGTCGGACACAACTGAGCAACTTCACTTTCACTTTCATGCATTGGAGAAGGAAATGGCAACCCACTCCAGTGTTCTTACCTGGAGAATCCCAGGGACAGGGGAGCCTGGTGGGCTGCCATCTATGGGGTTGCACAGAGTCAGACACGACTGAAGTGACTTAGCAGCAGCAGCAGCATATTCCAGGAGTTTTTAAAATATACATATATATTGCTGTTGTTTTTATTTTCTAAATAGCATGTCATTATATATATTTCTTTGACTAAGAATTTAAATTTTTTGTCTCAATTGAGAAACAGGATTCATACTTTCATTATTAATTTCTACTAAGTGGACAGAGAATTCAGTCCACACAAGATTTTACTGGAGTTGGGTTTTTTGTATGTGGCTTAGTATTATGCCAGTTTTTTCATGGTGCCTCAAACATCTACAAAGGTAGCGTATGTTTGTAGTAAGTCAAGTTCAATACATATTCATTTAACAGTAATATATTTCCAATAATACTAGGCGCTTTACAGATGTTTTCTCACTTAGTAAAACAATCATGTAAAATGAAAAACACTGTTTGAATCCACTTCTAGGAGGTACCTAGAGCAATCAAATACTTAGGGTCAGAAAGTAGAACAATGAATGCTAGGGGCTGGGGGGAGGGGGAATGTGGGGTCAGTATTTAATTGGGACGGAGTTTCCGTTTGGACAGATGAAGTTCGGAAGATGGATGGTGATGATGGTTGCACAATAATGTGAATCGACTTGATGTCACTTAAATATGGTTAAAATGGTAAATTTGTGTTGTATGGATTTTACCACAATAAAAAAATTGTTTTTGATCCTGTGATTTACTTCTCCCTATATATAAGTAATGAAATGAGGTTCTGAGATCACAGCACTGATCAGTGGTAAAGTCAGGGTTCAAACAGAGTGAAGAAGATTCAGAGCTTCCAGAATCTCTCTTTGTTACTCCCCTCTCTGTGGGAGAGCTTCAGAGAGTTGCTCCCCACTCCCTACATTCCTCAAACTAGGGAACAAGATGTGACAGTTTTCACCCAGATACTTCCAGCCCTTTAGTGAATAATTTGCATATTTCTCCTGTCTTCCCAGGCAGCAAGACAACCACCCAGAACCCCACCACCATGGCTGCCACCACTGCTACAGCTGGCCTTAGGAACTCAGAGAGTGGAAAGAGTCCGTGGTCTTGGCTCGAGAGTACTGAAGCTATAGTCGGGTTGGCACTGGCCAGCGTGGCGCTCGTAACCACAATTGTGGGGCTGATTGTGTACTTTAGATGCAAGAGAAGCAAAAGTAAGTGATCCAGGACCCTTAAGCTCTCCCCAAGATTCCCAGCTAAGTATTTCTCAGAACCCTCCTGCATCAGAATGACCAGAGCTGCTCAGCAAAAATGCAAATTCCTTCTGGGCCAGGGATCTGCATTTTACCTCCGCATGTGGTATTTGTGTCAAGTTTGGGACTCTGCTCAAGACCAGTCCCTCTCTATAAACCTGATAATTTCCAGTTCTTGTCTCCTGACTTAATCACTTCTCATCAGTCTCCCTTTTGGTTCACAAGGAGGGAGGGCCTGCCCTGGGAAACACAGAAGAGAGAGAAAGAAGGGACAGGAAGGTGGCTCCACTCAGCAAGTACTGGTTGGACACCGATTTTCCAGAGCCTGGCTGGTAACTGGAAATGCAAAAGTAAATAAAGCATAGACCCTGCTCTCAAGGATCTAGGGGCCAGGAGGAAGAGGGGAGCAGTTGCCTCAAGGGCTAATGGCCTCGTGTGGAAAGAGCTGTGGTAGGTTGGGAGGAAGGAAGGGTAATCAAGGAAGATGTCCAAGAGGAAGTGCAAAACTATCAAAGAATGAAGACGAATTAGCCAGGTGGTGAGGGTGGCATAGAGGTCACTGTCTTTCCAGGGGAAGGAAGGCATTCTAAGGACTGTAGGTAGCTCAGGGCTGTGGAACAGCCAGGAGATGAGAAAAGACGACCTTGGAAATCACATCCCAGAGCCTCTGACCCCAGAAACAGTGTGAAGCAGCGAAGTGGCCACCTCAGCTTGGCCTTGCAGATACACAGTCTATGGTGGAGAGGCCAGGCTGGGGTCACTCTGAAATCGTTATTTTATTCTGCAGAGCAAAAACCATAGTGGTTGTGTCCTGAGACTTAAGGATGAGGGTTTGAGATGAAGAAAAAAACATGATGTAGTCACTGAGAAAATGCAACATGGTATTTAATGATCAATTTAGATGAGAAGCCATAAATCTGTACAAGCATTATTGTATTTGATTGTGGTTTTTTTCAGCAGTATTCAACTAAAACCGTTAGAAATGACTGATTAAGAGCTAAATCCCTGGTGGTCCAGTGGTTAGGACTCTGTGCTTTCACTGCCTAGGGCCTGGGTTCAATCCCTGGTTGGGGGAGTAAGATCCCCTAAGTTGTGCCATGGCCAAAAAAAAAAAAAAATAGTTGTGTTCATCTGCTAGCATCAGAGAACAGAAGTAACAGTGGGCAAATAACACAGAGGGGACTTTTTTCCTCTCATCTAAAAGGATCTGGAGGCAGAAAGCAGAGAATACTAAGACACTGAGTCTCCTATATGTCTGCTCACTGTCCTGGATACTGACTTCTATCCTGAAGGTTGCTTTATGTGCAAGACAGCTGCTAGGATGCCAGATTTGTGAATCTAAACAGGAAGTAGGACGTAGGAGGAAAAGACAAAAAGACTATGTTCCAGCTGTCTGTCCTCCTTTTAAAGTCTTCCTAAAATTCCTGCAGCCATGAAATTAAACGCTTGCTCCTTGGAAGACCAGCTATGACCAACTTAGATAGCATATTAAAAAGCAGAAACATTGCTTTACCAACAAAGGTCCATCTAGTCAAAGCTATGGTTTTTCCAGTAGTCATGTACGGATGTCAGAGTTGGACTATAAAGAAAGCTGAGCACCGAAGAACTGATGCTTTTGAACTGTGGTTTTGGAGAAGACTCTTAAGAGTCCCTTGGACTGCAAGGAGATCCATCCTAAAGGAAATCAGTCCTGAATATTCATTGGAAAGACTGATGCTGAAGCTGAAACTCCCATACTTTGGCCACCTGATGCAAAGAACTGACTCACTGGAAAAGGCCCTGATGCTGGGAAAGATTGAAGGCGGGAGGAGAAGGGGAGGACAGAGGATGAGATGGCTGGATGGCATCACCGATGCGATGGACATGAGTTTGAGTAAGCTCTGGGAGTTGGTGATGGACAGGGAAGCCTGATGTGCTGCAGTCCATGGGGTCACAGAGAGTTGGACACGACTGAGCAACTGAACTGAACTGAAAAGTCCTCCCCACAACTTCCCCTTATTTTAATACATCATCAGCTAGATTTCACCATAGGTCCCACATCTGCCTGTAGGGGGGTACCCTGACACTCCAAATAAAATCAAGGTTCTGTAACTGAATAAGAAGGGAATGGATATGGGGCAAAGAAATAGCATCCTCTGCCTGAGGGCACAGCCAGGATTGGAGATGTGTCAGCAAGTGTGCCAGAAACACAGGGGGACCCAGGGGGTCAGGGAGCCCGTGAGAGGGCGCAGGTGGAGAGGAAGGGGCTCAGTGGGGGGCTTGGGTAACCTGAGGGAGAGCGGATCGTCAGGACAAGAGTGCAGTGAGGTCACGCACAGGTACAGAGGGATGATGACTGAAGAGAGCTGGAAGGAAGGAAAGTTGAAGCATAAAAATGATACCAGTGTTTACTATGTCAGAGTTCTTAGTCCCAATGGAAAAAAAAAAAGTCCAAGATGTGACTGAGTGGAACCAAGGTCACTGGAGTTGGGGAGGTGGATAAGTCCAACCTGTTCAGAGGGTGACGGGGCACAGGGGGAAGGGAAGAACTGCTCTCCTGACTGATGGTGAGGACAAGGCGGGACAGGTGTGGGCAGCCTCAGGGTGGCGGCTCTGAGTCCTGAGCCCTTCCCAGGGAGCTTTCAGATGGGATGGGGCAGAGAAGGTGGGGAGGAGACAGGCCTCCGTGGACGGCTCAGTGACGCGCTGTTGGTCCTCCTACAGGTGCGCAGACTGAAGCCAGGACCCCAGCCAGGTGAGCACTTGTCCTCCAGTATGGGGGGTGCGGTGGGACAGGGCTATTTTATGAGCAAGAAGTTTCCTCCTGAGAGCAGCACCAGGGAGCCTTTCACAGGCCTCCCCTCCTCGACCTCCATCCACATCCTCCCAAGTCCCCACAGGCCAGGGTCTGCACTTCCTGAGGCTCCCGATCCTTAGAAAGTCAGAGCAGTGGACCAGCACTTTCTCTGACTTTCTCCCAGAACATCTCCCTTTGTCTGTCTCTGGCACCCGCCTTTCCTCTTTCCATCCCCAGGTCTCAGCCTTTCCCTCTGTTCACCCTGGTCTGTCTCCCCCGTGAACACTGTCCTTCCAGAACACACCCGCCCCCTCCACGCTCTGTCCCCTTTCTTGCTCCTCGTCCAGTCTGTCCTTTGCCCTGTGACTCGGGGCCTCCAGCTGCCCCGGCCTGTCTCTCCCCAGAGCGGCTCCCTCGCGGCCCCCAGCCTGGCTCCCTCTCCTCTGGCCCCGGCTCCTCTTCCTTTCCTGACACTCACCCTCCTCACCGCCCACCGCGTTCCTTTCTCATCCTCTCTGCCGCGTCCAGGCTTTTCCTTCTCACAGCCCCTCCCTCCTTTCTCGCCTTCCTGACTCTTGACAGTGTCCTCTCGGGACCCCTCCGCGGATGGCATCTCCTCGGGGACCAAGGCCTGAGCACCGCCCGGGGGACCTGAGAGAAGCTCCCTGGTTCTCATGCTCCAGTTTGGACCCAGGCGCTGCCGCAGAAAGGACAGGCGCCCCCTCCTGCATCTCCTCCCTGCGCCCCTCAATAAAGCTGCTTCTCTGCGAGAGTCCACCCCAGTCAGCTCTCAGGGATGGGGCTACACTGCAAACGGCTCCTCAACCCCATCCAGGCAGCCTCCTCCTGAGAGCCCCAAACCTCGGCCTTCATGTCCGAGTGTGACCAGGCAGGTCACATAGCCCCCACTGAGAGAAGCGGCCCGAGGCAGGTGGTAGCTCTTTCCTGCCCAGATTCTGACACATCACTGCCCTCCTGTTCCCAATCAGGGAGTCCTCCCAAAACGCGGAAGAGAATTACGAGAACACCGGGAATAAAGGTGAGTCCTGCTTCCTTCTTCTCCCCACACCCCCTCCCCACACAGGTGGCCTCAGCATCCTCCTCTCTCCCCTGCCTCACCCACCCTTCCCTGAGACCCTGGTCCTGACCTAGAGATGACCTCACTGCTGGAGCCCCTGCCCATTTCTCTACCTTGGCTGCCTGGTCACCTGATCCTGGCACATGTTGATTTTTTCTAGGACAACATGTAGACCCCAAGCCAGATGCCAAGGTAAGCAGCTCAGATTAGGGCCTGAAAGGATGAGAGGGAAGTCTGGAGAAGGGGCGTGGAAGAATAGAGGGACTGCGGTGTAGTCAGGGCATCAGCTGTGGGATCATGGCTCTGAGATGGGACTCCCCCCACTTCAACTATCTCACTCCCTCCCCTTTCCCTTCTCCCCCAGGATGATGGTGGTGGCAGCGGAGGAGTCCTCTACGCCTCCCTCACCCTCTCTACGTTAAACTCACCAGCAACAGCAGTGCCTCCCTTGCCCCGTCCCCAAGAGGGCCCCCAGGAAGAGACCCTATACTCTGTCTTAAAGGCCTAAGCAGTGGGACGGAGTGGGGACCTCCTTCGAGTCAGCGGCGCACAGGGATCTCAGCTCCTCATGATCTCCCCAGCCAGACGCAGACAGCTCAGAGGCCGGCAGGTGCAGGGCCACCAAGGACCTGAGAGTCACACAGCCCCTACCCCGATTCCCTCTTCACCTCCCCAGCCTTTCACCACAAAAATAAAAGGACCTGTGCAATCTGCCTGAATGCATCTGCGGAGAAAGCTGACGTCACCTTCCAACTTCTGTCTTTCCGGAAGTTGAAAAAAATGAACCATGATAGATAGCTCACACCCAGATCCCTCCCCTGGTACTTCTGTTCAGTGACTGCCTCAGGCCAGAGACAAATAAATCCCCAAACACTGGTAATCAATCTGGAACACAAGGTCCGTCCCCCTAATCTAACCCTTCTACTTTCCTTAGGATAATAACTAGCACGTGTCGTGTTCGTGCTTTACGTGCATGGCCTCATTTCAGCATCATCAGCCACTCTCTATGGCACTGGATGCACCATTCGGGAAAGGAAAACAAGAACCAGAATGGTCACAGCGCTTTCCCCGAGGCCATGTTACCAGTAAGTGGCTGAGGCAGGCTGTGAACCCAGACCTGCCCTCTCGACCTCCTTCTCCTAAGGCTCAGGTGTCATCACCTTCCCAGATCTGTATACTGACAGGTCTCTCACCAGAAGGCACCATATGCCCAGTGACACGGAGAAGAGGAAGAAGCCAAAAAAGACCAAGTGGTTAGAGACAAACCAAACCAAGTAAACCAGTAACCTGGTTTATTAACATAAACTGCACAACTCTGACTTTAGCCAAGTAAGCTCACAGCCAATGAACAACCCCAACACTTATCAGCTTCTTGGGGATCCTGAGAGGCTCTTCACCCAGGAAGGAGTGACAGAGCAGGAAGGAGGCACAAGTCGACAGCTATTCCTCACAGAAGGCCACAGCGAGCTCCCCTGTGTCAACTCTGTGCTGTGGCTCCTCCCTCTACTCCAGCTCTTCTCCAACATCTTCCATGAGCTGGTCCAGATCCAGGTCACTGGAGGCTCCATCATCAGAAGGGACACTTCCAGCATCCTGGGGTTCAGGCCCTTCTTCCCCCCCAACAAGACAGGCCCCACGAGCAGCTGGTGGGGTCAGGACTTCTGGCACTAGTCTAGCTTCTTTTTCTTCAGATAGGCTGCTTACTGGGGCTTTGCTTTGGGGAGCTTTAAATTTTTTCTTAGGGTCTAAATGAAAAAGTGACAAAACTGAGAGTCTTATCGGGTCATCTGTCCTCACCTTGTATAAGTCCAACTCCTAAACCTTCTATTTCCAAAACAATCTCTGGGAAAAGATGACCTTTCTTTATAGAAAGAAAATGGGGTTTGGAATCAGAAAGACTTGGATCCATGGACCTTGAGAAAACTTAAAACCCTTTGAACCTCAGTCTCCTTATCTTTAAAATGGTAAATACCCAGTGACAGAGACACTGAAAGAACTAAAGGGACGGTGTGTAGAAGTATCTACCCAGCCGGCCCACAAAAACACCAATAAATGTTACTTCTACCTCCTTACCATTCTTGTGTCCCTGTATGTCCCTGAATAAAATCAAATAATAACCATAAGATGTTTCTACAGTGTGTGTTGTGTTCTGTGATTTAGATGATGCCCTTCTGGCCAAACTTTTGTGTGTTTTTTGTTTCATTTTTGTTTTTTCCCCAAAATAATGAAAAGTTGTGGAAGTTTTAAGGAACTATCAAAGGAGGAAACCTGCAGACGTGAGCCTCCCTCCCCACAGTCCCCAAGTCTGCGTCTTACCCGGCTGCTCAGGACCTGAATTTCCATGCCCTTTTTTTCTTCCTATTATGGGCACAGGTGGAGGTGCAGGTTCGTTTAACAGAGGTCTCTTTGTTGTTCTCCTTTTCAGGGTCCCATCTTGTCCATCTGCTCCACCGACATCACTCCCAACCCCCAATCCTGAAGGACATTGGTTTATTTCTGAGTGACAGTGTGGCTAGGGTCCACAAACTCCAAACATTCAGTCTTTGCCCTGTGTCTTCTGCTCATTTTCAATCTAGTGAGTCCTTCTGGTTCCTTTCTTTTCCCCCAAATATTTCTTCTCTTTCCCTCTGGGTCTTCTTCTCTTTATAGTTCACCTCAAAACCTGCCTTCTCCAAGAAGTCATCCTTCTTGGCTAAGAATTTAAAATATTCATTCCACCTTTAACCTAAGATTTTGTAATTCAACTCACAGAAGTGAGAAGCTACAGATTCCCTGATCACATTAGCATGAGTCTTGCCCATTTTCTCAGGTTCTGGAGCCGAGAGGTCAGTAAGGCCCAGTTACCTGCAGATCCCTAGCACTTTCTGCTACTTCCTTGCCTTAACAGGAACACATCTCGTTTCCAATTATCCTGCTTACCTCTTGCCTTGGGTTTTTTTGTTTGAATTTTGGCTGACTTGGAATTAGGCAAAGTTGGATCCTGAGAAAAATAAAATATAAATGAAGTCATATAATTGTGATTTAATAGAGTAGGATGCTACAGAAATGATGGGTGTACTTAAGGAAGTTCCAGATGCTAATTCTACCCAGTTTGATCTACAGAATCTATCTAACTTCAGTCAAAACCCCAGCAAGTTATTCTGTACCAGTATATGATACCATAATGATGGATACGTGTCACTACACATTTGTCCAAGTCCATAGAATATACACTACCAGGAGAAAATCCTAATGTAAACGATGGACTCTGCATGATTATGACGTGTCAATGGACTGAACAGGTTCATCAACTGCAAACAAATGCACCATTCCGGTGGACGATGTTGATAACAGGGGAGACTATACACGTGTGGGGGCAGGAGGTACATGGAAACTCTCTGTACCTTCCTCTCAATTTTACTGCAAACCTAAGACTGCTCTTAAAAAGTCTTTAAAGATGAAAAATATCTATATTTCATATGCCTGAAAAGAGACTAAGGAAATAAAATAATGAATATCCTAAGTGTCCACACAGGGAAGAAAGTAAAGAGAGGCAAACTGCTATTCTGTAAAACTGCTCCAGTAAGAACCAAATAACTACAGTGGGAAATGAGATTATCATCAAAAAATAAGTTCCTAGAGATATGAGGTGTTAGAATAACTGAGGACAGAGGCTCTTCTTCCCTGAAGAGTCCTAAGACAGAAAACCAGTCCATCAGGGCTACCCTGATGCAGGTACAGGACAGCTCCTTAGAAAATACAAATCCATGCTAACCAGATGCCCTAAAGCAATCTCCTCAAAGGAATCCCCAAGATCAATCTTACTGTTTCATCTTGCTCCTCGTCTTCATCCTCCTCCAACTCTGGCTCTTTCTTTTCTTTCTCCAAGCAGGAGTCTAAGCTGCTAGCCCCAGAGAACAGTAAGTCTAGAACAGGAATAGGAAGGAAAGGTTAAATAATTTATCTAATAAAATAGGTGATGAGTTAGTGGAGCTAATCCCAGAAAATCAATCTTCCAACTCTGTCTTTCATATCCAATTCAAAATTTCTCCATAAAATCTGATGCCAGATTATCATGGTTCTACCCTCTTCCAAGTCCTTTCACTAGTCAACATGCACTCTCCCTCCCTACTCCCTTTTTTCTCCATTCCTCTCACTACCCATGTGTCCATCCATCCATCCCAGACATTTGCTCAACAGCATTTATGTAAAGCCTCCTATTATAGAATCCAGAACTAGGTTGACGGGGGGATATAAAATAAAAGCTTCAGTAGCTGCCCTCATGAAGGAATCCCTTCCATCCCTCTCTGGTCCTTAGCCTCCTACTTATCCTACCTTTTTCTTCCCCATTATCGTCAGGTCCACTGTATCGGCTCCAGAAACCAAACAAGTTAACCCGCTCCTGAGGGAACCAAGAAACAAAAGCATCATCCACTAGTCTCCCAGGGGCTAGTTTTGCCTCCTGTCTTCAAGGTTTCTAGTTATAGAGTTTGTATTCATATTGCACACCATTTTCACTTGAAACTTCACATTAGGTTTATCTAAATTTTTGTAGAGCTTAACTACTATAGCATGTTATAACATTATACAATATTATTATAACTTCTTTTTCCAGTTTGTTTATAATTCAGTTAATAGCTGGGAAGAGGAAATTAACTGTTTGTTATCCTCCACCCCCTACCCAAAGGCAGGATTTGCGGGTGAAAACTAACCCCACAGAATAAGGTACGTACACCTGAGACCTGAAGTTAAATGAGTGGTGGGATTCCCTCTACCACAAACCGCCTCTGTTCAGACAGAGAAAAAATCCCATTTGTCCAAGGGTAGGGAAAAGAGTTTAAAGAGTCAAGGGGACTCGGCCTGGGAAGAAAAGACTAGTTCTAGAACTAAGATTGTGTAAGAGGGAAGGAGAGCCAGTTTTCTACAGGAGGGACTGTATGACTTGCTTTGCGTCCCAAGTCCCAAAGAGAAGGAGGTATGTGATCTAAACTTTCCCACCTGAATACTGATCTGCTCTGCCTTTTGAGCCATCATCACGGCTAACCCCAGTTTCTGGATGCAGTCCTTATTCTTGCACTTTCTCTGAAATAAAAGAAGATTAGAGTCAGTGATAAACATTAGGGAAGTGACTCCAACATACTGTTACTCACCAGACATTATCTTTACATTTATTTCTACTTCCTGGTATTGATATGATACTCCTATTCTTAATCTTTTGAGCTCAGAAACACAACCCTCCCTTGTACCAAAACAAACCTTTCATCAATTTCTAGCAATATTTTCAACCAACATTTTGGCATCCTCTCCAAAGTAAAGCCCATGGAAATTTGTAAAGGCAAAATTAAAGAAGTTCAGATGACTGCACTTTTAAGCTTTTCACAAGTTTCTTTATATCCAGCTGCTTGATTTAATACTCACGGCCTGATATCTAAGGTCCCTGAGCTCCTAGGCATTATTGGTAAGGCCCAAAGTGATTATGGGCTTCCCTGGTAGCTCAGCTGGTAAAGAATCTGCCTCAATGCAGGAGACCCTGGTTCAATTCCTGAGTCAGAAAGACCCCCTGGAGAAGGGATAGGCAACACGCTCCAGTATGCTTGGGCTTCCCTGGTGGCTCAGATCGTAAAGGATCTGCCTGCAATGCGGGAGGCCTGGATTCAATTCCTGGAGGCCTGGGTTCAATTCCTGGCTAGGAAGATCCCCTGGAGAAGGGAATGGCTACCCACTCCAGTATTCTTGCCTGGAGAATTCCAGGAGGAAATATCATTTAGTTACTTCAGTGGTTCTCAACCAGGGGAGACTTTTATCCCAGAAGACATTTGACAATGTCTAGAAATTTTTTGGTTGTCACAACTAGGGTGAGGGCTACTACTGGCTAGATGCCATTAGAGCCCCCCCCATGGATGCTGCTAAATATCCTACAACGCCTAGGACAGCCCCTCATAATAGAAAATTATCTGACCCAAAATGTCAATAGTGTTGAGACTGAGAAACCCTGAGTTAATCTGTGCCTTCATTTCTATCACACTTGCTTGGGCTAACCTGCAGAAAACCATGGTCTTCATGAAGGCCCTCTATCTGCAGACAGGGAATGAAACTAAGAAAAATCATTTTCCTGTTGCAATCATGGTAGAAAGAAGTGTTCCTCATGAATAACCTCACCCTGGCATACTTGGTCAGACATGCGACTTCCTCCTGGCATAGCTTCCTCCAGGAAAAATCACATTTATTAAAGGGAAGATTTTGCTTCTCAAGTTCCCTATATCACAACTGATCCCTGGAGGTTGCTTACCAGTCCACTTAGCTCCAGGGACAGCTCCTGGAAGTTCTTTAGCATGTTGACTGGGATCCAAGCACGAGAGACTGTTTCTCCAAAAAATGTCACATGGTACTTGGACTGTAATAAAAGATAGCTTTGTTATAGCCTCTTGTCCTTCTTCTTGCTTTGACCCACTAGCCAGGAAAAGGCAGAAGAGCTGAGAATTCACAAGAAAGGAAGTGCTGGGCCTTGTCTGTTCCTTTAAGCCTGACCCATCTATCCCACCTCATTCCATTGTTCTTCCATCCTGACCTCAGATGTCCTAACCAAAGCCTATTTGTCAAAATCACAAATGTCCTAGTAATTAATAAATATTTAATTAGATATTTGTTTGTTTATATATTCATTTGTCACTCTAGCTAAGTATCTGTTTCTGCTTGTGTCTGCTGGCTGTGTCTGTATTTCTAACTCTGTACATCTGTTAGGATGGATTTGTTCATTACTTTGCCCTGAGCACTGACCCACCCTGAACCAGGAAAACTCACCGGCAGGGAATCAAGATGAGAAGCAAAAAGAAAATATTCTCCCAGGTCAGGATCAGGTTCTACCATGCCTGGCCACCTGGAGAAGATGGGTGTAGGGGATGGAAGAGAAGGGGTTAGATGAACAGAACACAAACTCATCAATATACATGTACATAAAAGGGCACTGGGCTTCCCTTGTGTCTCACATGGTAAAGAATCCACCTGCAATACTGAAGACCTGGGTTCGATCCCTGGGTTGAGAAGATCCCCTGGAGGAGGGTATGGCAACCTACACTAGTATTCTTGCCTGGAGAATTCCATGGACAGAGGAGTCTGGTGGGCTACAGTCCATAGGGTTGCAAAGAGTCAGGACACAACTGAAGTGACTTAGCACGTAAAACGGCAGTACGTTTTGCAAATAAAGGATCCCCAAAATAGACCCCTCTGTCATCCCTCCACAGTGGTCACTACCAAATGACTGAGGTAACTTCCATCAATGTACAAAGAAGCTCAGAATCTTCCTACTAAAGAATATCTTATCTTCTAGGCCTCCTGGCAACCCTGAGAACAAAAATCTTCTGACTTGGGATATCTCCAAAGAAGAAACTATTCCACCCTTCCCTTTTTTCTCTTTACTTTGTATATCTCTCCTTTCCTAATGTCTAAAAAAATATCTTAGAGCCACTCATCTCTTTCTACCCATTCAGGGTAGAACTGGCTGACCCTTTTTCCCAGGGAGATACCATGTCCACCATGAAATCTCTAGAAATCACTCTTTCAAAGCCTCCAAGATTAGTACTTTATATTCTCCCTCACCCATGCTCTTTCTAGGCAGGTAACATTTCCATCATAAACCCCTTTCATTTTCTTCCCTCTCTGCCTGAATCTACCACTCTCAAGTTTATGAAGGATGCTCTGACTCTACCATGGCACCCTACCAGGGGTAGCCGTATTGCTTGGCCCAGATGATGGATCCTGGGATGTAGGAGGCATAGGCCACATCACTTTCATGACCAGTCCAGGTCTCCTCAGGGATATCACAGCGATTATACTGCAAGTCTGCCAAAAGAGAGGAGGAGTGCAGGGGAAGAAAGAGCCTCATGAGGTGAAAATCTGGATGAGGGCAGAGAAGAGGTCAAAAAGACATTGTTATGTGCAGCAGGTAGGACCAAAAGGACACCTGGGAGATGGGCCTGGAGGATGAAAAAAGGCTCATGAAGGAAATGCAGCTAGAGCTAGGAGAAGCAGGAGTGTTGGCTCATTATGTTCTGTAGAAAGAGATCCCAAACTTCTACCTACATCCCACATGTCTGACCCTGCTTCCATCTGTGTAACACCATGAAGATAATTTCTCCAATATTGTTTTCTCACCTGTAAAATAGTTGGGCTAGACTAGATCTTCATAAACTTTTAAAAGTAGTTTCAAACATTCTAGAATTCTAAGCTACTGAATCTCTCTCACTAGCTTTTCCTCATATATCCCATACCAACCCAATACCAAAAGTCTAGTCAGACTTTTGCTCAGAACAATTGTTTAGATTTACTCAGAACAATCATTTAGATTCCAGGACCCTCCCTACTCTTCAGAGTGTCTTCCTCTATCCCTTTATGCCGAATTCATTCTGAAAAGACAGCAAGATCCCCACCTCTCCCCAAACACTAACTACAAGGACCCCTGGAGTTATAGCTATACTTTTGTCATACTTAATCTAAAGCATGAAAGCAGGGAAAGAAAGAAAGGAACATAAAAACTGAAAAGAAATTTCCATTTTACCTGTGTTCTGGTCACAGGACCAATTATCTGGGAGGACGGAGGGGTCAATGTCCCCATGTAGCCGCCTCCATTTCTCACAGTTTGGGGAGGAACACTGGACCCAGACTAGGCATTGACCTGTCACAGCAAAGAAACCTGAAATAAGAGACTCAAAAATGTTCTTCCTTCTTTGATTTAGTTAAAATCAATATACTCCCTGCCACCACCACCTCTGCCAGAAACACACAGCCCTAGAGATCAACTTGTTCAAGCCCTGACTTATAAACAGTAAAACCAAAAGCTTGGAGGAGATAATTGACTGTTAAAGATCAGTCTAAATTGGTGGCAAAGCTGAACTTAGAACCCAGGTCTCACATCCCAGTCTTTCTCCTGAACCATGCTATCATCTCTTCTCCCCCAGGGCAGAAAGGAGTGCTTCCTGTATTGACATTTCTTTACAAGGCTGCCTGGCCTCTTTCTGGCTACTGCCTCACTTCCTGGCTGGCATGTCACTACTAAAAAGTTTTCCTGAAGGACTGTGTGTGCTTCAGCAGCATATAGACTAAAACTGGAGCAATACAAAGAAGATTAGCATGGCCCCTGCACAAGGATGACACGCAAATTTGTGAAGCGTTCAGTTTTTTTAGAAAAATGGTACTGAAGAATTTATTTGCAGGGCAACAATGGAGAAACAGACATAAAGAAAAGATTTATGGACATGGGGAGAAGAGAGGAGAGGGTGAGATATATGGGAAGAGTAACATGGAAACTTACATCATATGTAAAATAGATAGCCAATGGGAATTTGCTGTATGGCTCATGAAACTCAAACAGGGGCTCTGTATCAACCTAGAGGGGTGGGATGGGGAGGGAGATGAGAGGGAGTTTTAAAAGGGAGGGGATATATGTATACCTATGGATGATTCATGTTGAGGTTTGACAGAAAGCAGCAAAACTCTGTAAAGCAATTATCCTTCAATAAAAAAATTAATTAATTAAAAAACAAAAAAAGTTCTTCCGAAGGACTGACCAGCATCTCTTTTGCGCACAGCATCCAGAGTTCCTATTTGAACTAACCTGACTTATTTGAATTAACCTGTCACCAAATCACCAAGTTGAAGCCTTTGGGACCAAGAGCTCCGAGTTCATCCCTCACCAAAAGACAGGTTTAAGCCTACTGTTTCTCAGTCAGCTATTTACTTCAGGCCCTGCTCAAAGGCCAAACATTCTTTTTATCCATTACATTCCAAACTCTCATCCCCACCTTTCTCTACCCCACATCTTCTAGGCTGACCCAAAGCTCCACACAGCCTCTCCTCTCTCCCTCCCAAACTCTTCAACTATATTCTTTGGAAATGAAAATGAAATTAATATTCTTTGGAATTCCAGGCAAGAGCAACTAAAATCCACATATCTTCAACCTGTTTTCTGAACCTCTGCCTCCTTTTTGAAATCTGGTGATGCTGCCCCAACCCGATCCCACCTGACCCATGCAGCCCTCTAAGCAGAGGCTGTCCTTCTCACATCCCCCAGACCAGAAAGTGGGGTCAGTATCACCCTTACCTCCCATTGACACTTGTAGACCATTACTATCCTCCATTCTATAAAAACACTCCCTCCCTTAAGGTCCATGCCATGAGATTACACTGCCCTCTCATCTCCCTTGCAGTGACAATGCTGGTATCTGGTTCAGTCTTTTCCTTCTCTCTGCCTCCTGCCCTCATAGATTACCATATATCCACAAGGGTAATGTACAAGCACCCCATACCTTCTCCTCCATGCCACCTCAGTAGCCCCTTCACCTCAGGAACCCATGCCCATCCTGCATGCCACCCCCACCCCAGTCATCTGCAGGGACTGTACACTCCCCTGAATCACTTATCTAAACTCTTCTCTGATAAAAATGCCCCATCCGTCCACCTTGCTCCAAGAACCCATAGCAACTTTCACTTTATCTAGATCTCCAATCCACTGGCCCCACCTTCCTCTCAACTAGTAGCAATCTCTTTTCTTCACTCTGTATAGTTACACACATTTGATTTCCTTCGATTCTCTTGCAGACATCACCAACTCCTTTTCCCTCTGTCCTTCCCCCCACTCAGCTGGCAAACACAATTCTGAATGAACCCACTCTTTTTCTGTGCCTACACTCATTCAACTGAGCTTTGCTAGAGAAAATCACTTATCAGGTACACTACATATTCAGTTAACGACATCAACCAATATGTTTCTCTAGTAAGTTCACTCTCCCACTGTCAGTTTACCTTAAATGCTGAAACATCCCACCAAAATCATTCCTCAGAAAAGTAGATGACTTACATTTGGGTCCTTTCAAAATATCTCATATTATGTATCACTTTCTCAGTTATTTTGAAGAAGTACTGGTTGGGAATGATGTATTAGTTTGAAATGACAGTTGCCACTGACAGTTTTAGATGTTTACAGAGGTGACCTGGCAAGGCTAGAAAAAAAGAGTGGGAGAAAGGGCCAGGGACCATAAAAGAGAACAGAGATCAAGAAAATAAATGGTGGTTGTAAAAATATAAATATTCATGAGAAAATGAGTGGGGGAAAAATCATCCTAATGCTATAAAACTAGATATTTATGGTTTAGGATGAAATTTCTATGACAGTTTTAAAGACATACAGTTCCTTAAAGTTTCCTTTCCAACAACTTAGAAAGAAGAGAATACGTGTTAGAAAACTGTTTGAAGTTCAGATGTGATTCTGTGTTAATGAAGGCTGATGTCACAGACACAGGTCAAGAGCATTTCAGTTGACCACTAGTTTTTGAAACACTAGCTTCCTTGGGTTCTGTGATCCCTCACTCTCCCTTTTCCCCCATCCCCTCCCATTTTTCTGGTAACTCCAGCCTCAGTCTCCAAATTGGGTTCACCTTATTCTCTGTCCAATCTCTAAACTGGAGTCCCAAAGCCTAACCATGGGTCTTCACTCCCATGCTGCACTTTCTCCTGAGGTCAGCTCACCCATATCCTCCGTTTGAAACCCATTTTCATACCTGACAACACAGAGATGTATGCCAGTAGCCTCTGTTCTGAGCTCCCAGCTCCTATAGCCACCTTGCTCTTTGGCATCTGTATTTGGAGGTCTCACAAAAATCTCAAACCCAATGAGTTCAAACCCAAATTCTTCATCTTATCCTACAGAACTGCTTTTTACCAACTCCTTTAACACAACTGCTCAAACCCTCTTCTCTCTCTCACTTTCCAATATTCAATTCATCACCAAGTTCTGACAACCTTACCTCCAAAACATATCTTAAAACCATTTGCTTTTTGTCTCCTTCATCACCCTAATCCAAGCCGCCAAAATATTTAATCCCAGCACTAACTTCTTAACTGGCCTACTCTTGCTTCTCATACTCCACTCTCCAATCGATCACCAAAAGGATCTGCTTAAAACATCAATTTGAGGATGTCACTTCCCTGGTTAAAACCCACCAGGGGCTTCCCACTATACTCAAGATGAAATTCTCACTTTGTAACATGGTCTTTGAGCTAGCCACTGCTACCTCCTTGTGAAGGAGGAAACAGACAGAACAGGCTCCCTCTTGAAACAGGACTCCATCGTGGGCCGGACTGTGGACTTTGAGCTCTGTGCCCAGTATCTATGGAAACGACAAACCAACTGGAAAACCAGGGTCCTGGATGGAAGAGCCCCAGGGCTCCTACCTAGACTCTCCCTCCCTAAAAGAATACCCTAATTAACTGTGGAACCGAATAGAACCAAACATTCTATTATGTTTACTGGGGTATGACCAAAGGCCTGTTGATAATTGTCCACTGTTAACTAGGCCTAAGGCATATGAGTCAGGGTTAACTTTGTATCTTTCTTTTCCTTTGTTCAGACTAGTTTCAGGGAGTTTGGGGAGGTGGGTTTGGACACATACACTTAGGGTATATAAGGTTTTCACAAAAACTGGTTGGGGTCCTTGGCCAGGAGGAGACTCTGCCTTGGACCCGCTGGTGTAACAAACTGCACTCCACTATCTGCACTGGCCTTCTGAGTGAGTTTGTTTCCCGGAACACGTGGCTGTAACAGTCACATTTATCTAGAGCCACGTTGCAGCCTTGCTTCCCTTGCTCCCTGAATCCCAGTTATACCAGGTTTCTTCTGGCATCCAGAGTAAGCCAAACTTCACCTTATCTAAAACTTTCTCTTACACACTTTAGTTGGCTAATTTCTACTCTTGCTACAGGTTTCAGCTTAAATGTTATTTCCTTCCAAATGCATTCTCTGACTGACCCTATCTTAATGAGATCTCCACCGTTTCCTCTCAGGACATTGTTTTCCTTCCCTTCACAGAACTTAAAGCAAATTTTATTTACTGGATACTTCCTTTCTACTTCCTACCCCAGGAGCACCCATCTCTCCTCAGCAACCGTAAAAAAACAGGAAGGGTGGTTCACTGATAGTAAGAGCCTACACATTCGCTACAAGCACAATTCAACCCACAAGCACTGCCAAAACACAAACTTCCTCCAACAACTATGGATTACATGACTGAATGACTGAAACAGCTCTCTTTCTTCCTCAGCACTATATCCTCTCAACAAGTAGCTGTGTGAGATAAACTATAGTCTTTGCAGAATTTCCTCTAACATCCTAACATGTTATCCTTCTCCTCCACCTCCAATTTTCAAGTTCAAGTAGGTTTGTCAAACCATGGCTGAACTTACCAAAACCACTTCCTTCTCCTTTTTGTTGGTCCCTGTCCTGGGAATGATCCTGAATGGTTTCCTTCTGTTGGTCATCCTGTCTGTGCTCATGTCCACTTTGGTCTGTCTCCATTTTCTCATCTTCTGGGAAGATAAAAGAAAAACATTGTAGGGTTAGGAGATGAAGAGAATCTTTGTAGATAGTAAAAGAAGAAGAATTGCATGTCATTAGTTTTAAGTCTTGGGCTGAAAATTCTCAGTACACCCACTGTCCCATTCCCTAATTTCATGGAATAAGTACTTGAGCCAGATGTCAAAGTATATCAGATTATACTTACGAGCTTCCTTCTTTCTTTTGCTTAAGGAGAATTTATTGACTTTCTTCTCAGAGGATGCAGAATCTGGCTGGCCTGGCTTAGATATCTTTATCTCAGGGATTATTCCATCTTCCTGAGAGGCTGAAATCTCTAGAATAGGAGGTACCACTACTCTGTCTCTGCAAATAAGATTTTTAATTAAAAGACAGAAAAGGGCAATTTGTAGTACCCCTCTTTTGAAAAAACCCAAGGGTAAAAGTTAGGAGGACAGAAGACCTGCAAGTTCTCCATGGCCTCCTGGGGTCATTTTATCCATTTACTGGCCTATTTTTCCCAATTCAAGTATCTTTCCTGAGATGAGAGAAATCTACCAAGATATGAAAAACATCTAGATAGAAAGACAGATAGATGGATAATCATTTATCAGTATTAAGTCTACCCTGTGATCAACTCGCCACACTGGGATAAACTTACCCATCAGCATTATTATTATCAGAAGTATTAGAAGAAGCAATTCCTGGTTCCTTGTCTAACTGGGTACATCTTGTAGGCTGGGTACAGGAAGTCTCTGGAAAATCAAGGCTAGATTCCATCCTCCCAAAACAAAATACTATAAGCAGAGAAGCAACTAAAGAAAAGAACTACTCCATTATTTCCAAACTGTAACCTCTCATTAACATATCTCCCATCAGTTGCCTGGAAGAACCTACCTTTAGACTTTCGCGATACCATAGAACTTGCAAGTTTTTAATTCTCAGGAAAAACCACAAATGTGTATCTTTCTGAAAGCTTTTCCAGATGGATTTGCCTATTCTAGGATAGTCAGGTAATGTTAATTTTGTGTACATAACAGAAATTTTAGGTATCGTCTTTTATATCATTTGTCCCTCAAGCTTTCTCTAAAAGTGGAAGTATACCTAAGAAAAGCTGAAAATGTCAAACCACTGTCCTTCGCCTCAAGACCTTATGGAGGAAGGCTTCAGGGCCTATACCATAGAGTTTCTTATTCTAAAAATCAAATTCCTGAGCATATGTTAAAACAGTATTGGAAATAGAAATATACAAGAAATAGAAACTAAGGTCTTCAAATCTGGGAAAAATAATTTATCTTTTCTATGAAAATTGTAAACATATAAAAATAAATTTAAATTACATTAAAAAATCTGGATGAGCCTATATTTATATTCTGAAGTCAATGTAATCTACTTTTCTAAAAGTCTATACCTTCTGTCTAAGATGGCTTAGCTATAGTCCTGTCGATAGAAGATGAGTATTTAAAACTATTTTGAAGTCTCATCTAATTTTTCCTTATGTAGAAAGATGGAGAGAAGGAGAGGAGCTATTAACTTACTCCACCCTTCAGATAATTTCTTTGCCTAACTGAAATTCTCTCACTAAAAGCCATACCCAAGCACTCCTGGAAGGACTTCCGTAGCACAATCTGGACAATCTCCTCAAATTCTGCACTGGTAAGAGTTGATTTTTCCTGCAGAGAGACAGGTAGGGGAGAAAAACTGCTCGTCCTTCCCCATTCCTCCTCTCTAGGAAGGAGGAAGCCTCCTTTGGATGAGGCAGCAAGTTCACAAAACTGAGAGCATGAATTCAACCTAAAGATTCAACTACAGATCGCCTGGGAGTAAGAAGTCAAAGAAAAGGAAAACATTGATAGTCTCTACTTCTACTCTTATCTACATCCAACCTCAGCCCCTACCTGCCCAGTATTCCCTGCTAAATGCTTTCATTAAAACATTTTTTACCTCTTTGAGAAGAAAATACACACCCCACACAAGAAAAAAAACCTGAAACTACAGGATGAATCTCCCCTGTGGCATTTACTACATTCAAATTTATGTTATAAATATTTAAATATCTTCTGAAATGGAAAGATCCTATTTGCCCAGGCTGGATGACGAAGAGAAACTATCCCACTACAGCCATCCTTTTGATTTTTACCTTTTCTTTCTTTGCTTTCTTTGCTTTCTTGCTGTCTTGAGCCTTTCCTTTTATCTCCTGGCCACTGACTGGACCATTCTCTGTGGGTGTTTTCTCCTTCTTCTTCTCTAACCCGGCCTTTAGCAGGCTTGGCCTGACCTCTGCCTGTGGGGAACTGATCTCCAGGATCTCCTCCTTTGATGAGTTAAGGTTATAGGGCATCGGGCTATGCAATTTTTGTGCAGGTGGGGCAAAGGTATTTTTTTGTCCTTTCCCACATTCTGAAAGAAATTTTGTCATCAAATGTAATTTGTGAAACATGGAATCTAACACAGAAATTGCCAAACATTGCCCACTGACTCACAATATCAGAATTATCTGGAGAGACCTTTTAACAAATTCAAATTCCTAGACCTCTCCTTACCAAACTTCCCCAGGCCCCCACCTTCTCAACCCTGCCCCAAGATCCTGACAAAGTAGTCTGAAGTGAGACCCAAGAATCTGTAATTTTATAAGGCTATCCAGCTAACTCAGATGCACTTCAGGTTCAGGAATACTGAGTAATTCAAAAGCAATAAAAACAAGTATGCGGAAAACTGAAATATTCAAACATGAAATTTTTAAAATTTGCTTTTTTTTTTAAACTTTGTACAAAGTGTTATGGGAAATTAGAGGAAAATTTTAAAAAACTAGTCAAAATCTACAAAGGATGCAATGAAAATTGTACTGATCCTCCCAGGCATAAGAAATCTATCTTTCTTCGGAGCTTCCATAATACTTTGTATCTATGCTGTGGCATTTACCACTTTCAAAGTTATTTATAAATATTTAAATGGCTCTTCTCTCCCTACAATCTCATACATTTCTAGAGTAAGACTGTTCAAAGTCAAATATATTTCACTCAAAGTGGCTAGAAAAGCAGTAACTCTAACAAAGTGAACATGAAATACTTATGAACTGAGCTTCCCTTTGGTGGGAAAGGTGTCCAGATGACCTAAGACTGAGAAAGAAGAGAATGACTCTTGACTCACTTTCTTTACTCTCCAAGGTTGGCATCATTCAGCTCAGAAGCTACACTTTCTTTATGCCTCTGCTGAAAAAGAAATGAACTGTTATGCTCTGATTGAGCAAAATTTATTTTATTGAAGCATAGTTGATTTATAATGTTAATGTCTGCTACACAGCAAAGCGATTCAGTTAAATATATGTGTGTGTGTATATACACACACACACACAGTACTGATCGAACATGATTTTAAGCTTTCTCCTCTTCTTGCCTTCTTGGGCTCGGGCTCTCTTTGCCTGGGATGCCTAACCTACATTTTCTGCCTTACTGACTACAATTGTACTCCCAGGCAGTGCCGATTACATGCTGGAGGGTAATGAAAGTTGTTCTAAAGATTAGCAACAATCCTTAGTGTTTTAAGTGTTTAGAACTATGTCCAACATGAGGTAGGCACTTATAAGTAGGTGGAAATGACAGTGGTAGTGATTTGTTTAAAAAAAATTCAACTGAGTAAATTTTGAGGATCTTATTGGCTTTATTCAACAACTCATGAATTGGGCAGCATTGAATCTACCAGATGGATAGAAGCTCCAAGGAGCTATACAAAATTAAACACTTTTACAGGCAGAAGAGATAAGGAACACAGATGTAATACTAGGCAAAAAAGGAAAGAAAGAAAAAGAAAAAAGCAAATTGATTAAACAAGGTTACTTTCCTTTAAGGAATTACTGGGGTCTATCAGGCAGATTACCCAACTAGTGCTGATCAGGCAATTCCTGACTGACTGGTTTAAGATTCCATTTCTGAGAGAGCCAAACTGTAATTAAGTTGTCTTGGTTTACTGACAAGGGGCTTAGCATAAGCAACCCCATTTGGTGCCTCTTATTAAAACAAGATGTGTTTTTAACAGCCAGAAGTAAAAATAGTAGTAGAGTAGCAGCAGTTGGGTGTAGACAGTCCTGGAGTTAAACAGTGAGATTTTTCTTCAGAGCAATAACCTCTCACAAGGTTCTTCTAAATAGTCAAAACAAATACACTGTAGATTCACTTACCTATTTCAGACATCCCTATGCATAGAGAACTCCCCTTTTAACATCACTATAGTGTATTATTTTCCTTTTACTTAGATCTTCTAGTCCAATAAATTTCCCAATGTGCTAGATTCTTATATTAATAAGATTCTTGTAAAATAAGAATTATTTTATTCATGGCTCAGAAATATTTAGTAACCAGCAGATATTTTTGAACTGTGGTGTTGGAGAAGACTCTTGAGAGTCCCTTGGACAGCAAGAAGATCAAACCAGTCAACCCTAAAGGAAATCCACCCTGAATATTCATTGGAAAGACTGACACTGAAGCTCCAATACTTGGGCCACTTGATGTGAAGAGCCAACTCACTAGAAAAGACTCTGATGCCGGGAAAGTTGAAGGCAAAAGGAGAAGAGGTGGCAGAGGATGAGATATTTGGATAGCATTACCGACTCAATGGACATGAATCTGAGCAAACTCCAAGAGATAGTGGAGGACACGGAGGCCTGGCATGCTGCAGTCCATGGGGTCACAAAAAGTCAAACACAACTTAGTGACTGAACACAGAGGTCTCCAGAGAAGCTAGTAATAAGAATCTAGCATATTCATTCTATATCCATAGTTTATCTGTAGTTATCTACTCAGATGTGTTCTAAACAACATCCGTACATTTCATTACTTCTACCAAAATTGTGACTAATAATAAATACACTTACTGGGCACTGACTATAATTTTTGAATATGTCATCTCATTTAATTCTTCCAATAAATCTATGAGATTGATGCCATTTTACACTTGGGGAAATTGACACTTAGAGGGAGTTAGAGATATTAAGTAATTGATAAATGGTAAAATCAGGATTAGAATCTGTCTGATTTATGTTTGTGTCATGAACTGTGCTACAGTACATCCCAGTAGTCTAGTTCAGTAGTTCAGTACTTCACACCCATTTTAACATCACAGCACACATGTAAAGCATCCACTAAAAGTAAACACTGAAACACACAGAAAATATTTCTAGGTACTCTAGGGTAAAAAGACCAGGCTGCTCACAGCCATAGACAACTGAGGGATAGGAGAGGGAGGCCTCCAGCCACACCAAAGGCTGAAGAGGTTAATATCTCTAGCTGTATGTCATTTGTGACCCAGCACAGTGCCAAAACTCATTTTATGATGTTCCAAGAACTTATACATTTTCCAGTTTTCACTTTCTACTACTGATATTATTTCTACCCAGCTGTGGTCTGCCAAAACCTCAGAGTTAATACATGGTAGAGTAAAATGAATCCAGGTCTTTGGCTTCTAAATTCTAATAACATGTCTATTCTTCTCAGTGATCTGATTTCTGGCTGTTGTTTTTGAGTACTTTGAAGGCCTTGGACCTGAAACTCAATCCTTTAACTCTGCTATCTCCCACTATAAAGAGATCCAAGAGGTTTTCCAGGTGGCACAGTGGTAAAGAATCTGCCTGCCAATGCAGGAGAAATCAGTTTAATCCCTTATCTGGGAAGATCCCACATGCAATGGAGCGATTAAGCCCATGTGCCAGGACTACTGCGCCTGTGCTCCAGAGCACAGGGGATACGACTGCTGAGCCCATGCGCTGCAACTACTGAAGCCCCCACACCTTGAGCCTGTGCTCTGCAACAAGAAAAGCCGCTACAGTGAGAAGCCTGTGCACAACTAGAGAGTAGCCCCTGCTCATTACAACTAGAGAAAAGTCTGACCAACAACAAAGACAAAGAAACAAAGAAAATGAATGAGTAATAATAAAAAAGAGAGAGATCCAAAAGTTGCATAAAATGGATCTTTGGATTTGTATATTTTTCTCTCTAAAGGGGCTGAAAATTTTATGACCCTCAAATGGTCAACTTTAAGTTGACTCAGTTGCTCAGGGCATAGAATTCCATGCTCCAGATTCCAAGATGAATTCAAAAGTTACCGGGGACTTGACTTAGTGTGGCCACAGCATGGCTGAATATAAAGTCTTTTAAAAATTTTTTGGTATTTTTCTGCTCCTTTTCTTAATTCCATAAGTGCAAATAATTGATACGTGCTGGTTTGCAGTAATTCTTTTTCGTTTATACTCGTCTAGTGTGTGTGAGTCGTTCAGTTGTGTCTGGCTCTTTGTGACCCCATGGACCATAGCCCGTCAGGCTTCTCTGTCTATGAAATTCTCCTAGCAAGAATCTTGGGGTGGGTTGCCATTCCCTTCTCTAGGGGATCTTCTCAACCCAGGGATCGAACCCGGGTCTCCCACACTGCAGGCAGATTCTTTACCATTTGAGCCACCAGGAAAGCTCAATTTAAGGGGCACATTTTATCACAGTTTCCATCTTAACTTTTCACCACCAACTCCCAAACTTATTTGACAGTGAAAGAAAAAGCAAGTAGGAAATTGGGGGAGAATCACTACAGCAAACTGGTCTCCTTCTTCATGATAGTCCTAAATAGAAGCTACAAATTGTATAAACTTAGGCCATAAAGGGAATAATAATAATAAATGACAAACATATCTTCTCCCAGACTCTAAAATTCCAAAAATGACTATGAGAAGTCCCTATGAAGATAATCAGAATTACAAAACTATACCGAACGAGGACTGCAAAATGAAATTAGTGTACTTGAGATGACAAAATTTGATTTTTTAAGAATGTTCATCTATACAATATGTTTGAGTGTCCATTAACTATCTTTGGAAGAACACACAAGAAACTGACAAAAATGTCTCAGTGGAGTGGTAACAGGTAGCTGAGGGTGGAAACAAGCTCTCTACTGTAGCCTCTTGTGTAACTCTAGTATTTTATACATAGACTGTCATTTCAAAGTGATTTTTTAATTCTATTTTTAAAATAAAATTTAAAAAAGAGTATTTTGATCAACCTAAAGAGGCAAAAATTTTCCAAGTTAGCTTTAAATCATTATCTAAACCTATACTGACCTCTCTAGGCCAAAGTGTGTTACTGAAGCCCCAACCAACTAGATAAAATTGTGATCACTGCTGAGTTAATAAGATGTAGTAAATATATAAACTTTCCTTATGGCTCAAACAGTAAAGAATTTGCCTGCAGTGCAGGAGACAAAGGAGATGTGGGTTTGATCCTTGGATCAGGAAGATTCCCTGGAGAAGAAAATGGCAACCCACTCCAGTGTTCTTGCCTAGATAATTCCATAGACGGAGAAGCCTGCCAGGCTACAGTCCATAGGGTCCCAAAGAGTCAGACATGACTGAACACGCATGCAGAGTGAGGGTGTGATGAAAAACATTACTTTTAAAGAAAATCTCTATCCTGGTCAATAGAGAAGGGAAAGTTTGGAAGTCACTGTCTGATAAGTCTCTGCTCCTCTGTTTCAGATGAAGTATTTTCTTCCACAATAACGAATACTGAAATCCACCTCAGAGACAGTAAGACAATTTTAAAGATAGTTAATAAATATAAAATACCACCAACTTTTATCTGGCCAGCTACGAAATGACTGGGGGCTCTAAACCCAGGAATAACATTTGAGATTTTAGTTTCTCTTTTCTTACTTTAGATGAAAAATATTGGGAAAAAATCCAATAAAGCTTTAAATGTTAAAGTAAAAGAAATTCCATAACCAGATCCTAACTCCTCAACTAACATAAGAAAGAAAGGTGAATAAGGAGGAGGAAATAACTTAGAAGTAATAAAGGGACCCAAGGGAAGGTGAATGAGGTGTTCCAAAAAATAGTTTTCTTTCATTTAGAACACCAAAAATCATCACACTGATTAGAAAATGAAATCACCTAGCTCACCAGATCTCCAACTATTTATCTGTGTTAGGTTTTCTCATATTCTTCAACCAAAACAAGATATCACAACACATTGAATTCAGAAACAGATGAAAATCCAGCTGTTTTCTATTAAGCCAGACATGCGAGAGATGTGCAGAAATTTAAAATAACACCATTCTTCATACTAAATTTTCTTTCACTTAGGAAAATATATTTTCATTTAAATGTTATCTACATTAACATTATGTAAATGGTTTATTATCATCATTTTAAAATTAGTCAATAGACTAATTTTTCTCAGTTTAATTTCTAATACTTAAGTATCATTGCACAGGTACAGAGATATAAACCAATCTTTGGAGTCCTTCAAAATTTTTAAGAGTATAAAAGGATTCTCAGAGGACTTCCCTAGAGGTTCAGTGGTTAAGAATCTGCCTGCCAGTGCAGTGGACACAGGATTGATCCCTGGTCTGGGAAGATCCCATATACTGTGGGACAACTAAGCCCATACACCACAGCTGCTGAGCACATGCTCTAGAGCCCAAGAGCCACAACTGCTGAAGCCCAGGTACCCCAGAGCCCACGTTCTGCAACACACGAAGCCACCGCAAAGAGAAGCACGTGCATCACAACTGGGGAGTAGCTCCTGCTGCCCCAACTAGAGAAAGCCCACATGCAGAAACAAAGACCCCATGCAGCCAAACAACAACCACCGAAAAAAACCTTTAAAACATAACTTAAAAATAAATTTTAAAAAAGGATTCCAGGGTTTTCCTGGTGGCTCAGTGGTAAAGAATCTGCCTGCCAATGCAGGAGACTAAGATTCAATCCTTGATCCTGGAAGATCCCAAATGCGGAAGAGCAACTAAGCATTTGCACCACAACTAGTGAGCCTCTGCTCCACAACAAGAGAAGCCCTCTCGGTGAGAAGCCCACACACCACAACTAGAGAGTAGCCTCTGCTCACCACTGCCAGAGAAAAGCCTGTGCAGCAATGAAGATCCAGAACAGACAAAAATAAATAAGTAAATTTAATTTAAAAATAAAGGGATTCTGAGACCAAAATGTCTGAGAACTGACTTAGCTAAATAACTTAATTCAGTCTTGTCAATATTTTTCAAAAAGCCTTAATCCTCCTCCTCCCACTCGGAATGTGTTCACAAATTTCTCCCAAGTATCCAATTACTCCCTCTTTATATTGTCCCTGGAATCCTTGGTCTAAGAGGACAAAAATAAACCCTTTAGAATTGCCCTCTAACACAGACTCTGTGAGCCTCAAAAAATTGTATTTAAAAACTATATTTTGAGCAGAGAAAAAAAAAGATCAAGTTTCTATTCTTACTGAGCTGACATTCTAGTGGGAGTAGTTAGACAATGATCAAAACATGTAAATATATATATTGCAAATTTTAAAAAGATTATATATTCAGAGGAAGCACTTTTCTCAGGGTTACTTGAGATGCTGCCTCCCAGGCTTCAGTGCCTCAGTATGTCCACCAAATAAAATATAACTCTCAAAAAAAATAAATAACAAGATAAAGACTATATTTTAACTCTCCTTTAAGCTGGAGTTGGATTTCTTTTTGTCTTAATGTCTGATGGTATGTAGATTCCTGCTTATTTTCATGCCTCCATCAGTAAGTTTGTTCTTTCTTCCTTTTTTCTCTCATGTGAGTTCAGCAAGCATGATTCTAAACTTTTAACAAGACAAAAGGAAAAAACTGATCCCAGCTACCCTTATTACCTATACTAGGCTGCCTAACAAGACATTTGGGGCTTCCCTGATGGCTCAGTGCTAAAGAACCCACCTGCCAATGCAGGTGAGGTGAGTTGATCCCTGGGTCGGGAAGATCCCCTGGAAATGGAAATGGCAACCCACTATCCTTGCGGTATCCTTCCAGATCCTTGCGGGGGAACTCCCACGGGCAGAGAAGCCTGGCAGACTACAGTTCATGGGGTTGCAAAAAAGTCTGACACGACTTAGCAGTGAAACAAGACATTTACTGTCATAACTACTTGAAGTAAAACCTTTTATGGAATCTCATAAATTAATGGTGACTAAAGCTTAAAGGAGTGCAAGGAAGCAGAGAGACACGGCCAATTATCACCAAGACAGACTCTTTAGTACCCTGATCTTGGTTCAGACCCTTTCTTATCTAACCGCTGATAAAGCTTCCACACGTGCCTGGAATAATGCCAACCTCAAACAAGCCATTTTGTGTTGCTTTCCAAGGGGCCATGCCCATGAACTCCCAGACCACTGCACCACTTCCCCTCACAGAGTGCCAAGATTTGGAACAATAAAAGACCTAATCTCACTTTTCTCACTTTTAAAACCAGAGGGAAGAACTTGGAGACACCCACATTTTTTCTCTTTCCTCACCAATTCTCTCTTAAAAGCACAGCAATTCAGACCGGAGGTACCACAAAGCAAAAAGCCCATGACTCCTCTCTAAGGGTAAAACAGCGGCTCTCTAACCTCTCCTCTCCATCAACAAACCCCCCATGAGACAATTTCCCCTCAGCTCCCCCTCCCCATTCCCACCCCCAACCCACGGAGCACCAGGATCCTCATTCTCGCTCAGCTCGACATTGCCCACCATAATACTGAGGTAGTTTTGGTTTTCTCTTAGGAGCAAGTCTGCGGTTAGACACTCTGATGAGAGGGCTAAGACATCACCCTGAGCAGAAAACTTTTCCTCGGGCGACAGGTGCCAAGACTGGCTAAGCCTAGAACCGTCAGGTGCAAGCGGAAAAACACCAACTACCTTCTGGTGCGTAGAGGACCTAAGGGTGAGGAGCAGACATTGCAGCAATTCTACCAGCCGCGCGAACCTCCAACCAGCTTTCCCGCCACCAAGGAAAGGCGCGAGGCCACTCACAAGCTCCACCTCCTCCGGCGGCGTGCTCGAAGGGCTAATGCGCATGAGCAGTTGGAGGCCGTTTCTGCGTTTGCGCAGCAGTTATTGCCGCCATCTTCCAACCGAATACCCCGTAAAACTACAAATCCCATAATCCCCGTTGGCCTCGCTTTTTTTTTTAGGTGGCAGCCGTAGCGCCTGATGTTTAAAGATGCACATCTTCCTTTTACTGACTTCTCTCTCTGCCCCAAACTGCCTTTTCCATCCTCTTTTCGTGCCCTCATTCGCATTCTTCTTAGTATCCTTCATCCCCTTATTTTGATATTTTATTTGAGATCTATCCTTAACCCCATTCTCGCGTCCTCCTTTTCTCAGCCACAGGACCCGCACCCCAAGCGCTGTTGGCAAGGAGATCAAGCCACCAAACACCCAGTGGGAAGGCCGTCCAGTAGCTTCCTCCCCATAGGCTAAGGCAGGGAGCCCCCAAAGCGGACCGAAATCTCTTCCCCGCCCACATCCGTTTTTATATAAGGCGGCCCGGAGCCGCAGCGTGTGCTCGGGAAAGCCTGCGTGCGGAGTGGGGGGTGGGGGGGCGGCGGTGCTGGGTGTACTGCTGCTATTGGCAGCTGTAGTGGGCGTCGGATAGTTTTCCGCGGGCTGGGGAGGGGCTCGTGCGCTAGCGTCGGGTGGTGGGCGGAGGCGTTGGTGTTCGGGAGGTGGGTGTGGAGGCGGAGAGGAGGGCGTGGTGTCCCCAGGTGATCGCGATCGGGGGTACAGCAGAGGAGCGAGAGAACGACGCGGCCGTTTAGGGGGAAGAGGAAGTTAGACAACATCGTCTGTTTTAGTGCTTGTTTTTTCTTTTTCCAGTTCAGCAGAGGCTATTTTCCAGGGGGGGATGAGTTAAAATGATGTATCGTGTTATACTGAGAACAGTTCGTAGGAAGACGGTCAGTATGCTCCGCTCCTTCCCCTCTTCTCCTTTTTAGGTGCACCCCTCCGCTCCCTCGGAAGCCTTTGTAAATAGGTGGTCATCGGGGGGAAACCGGATCATGAATAATTCATAAGAACAGCCCCGCCCCTTAGCCACGCCCCTCCGAATCGTGCTGACGCATGTTGCGTGTTCCCAAGCGAGGAAGTAACGTAACAGTCCCCGCCCCTAGCACGGAGGGCGGGGCGTCATCTCCAGCACGTGCTGCATCTACCCGCGCAAGCCCAAAAGGGTGTGCGCAGGCGCTGCTTGCTAGGGGGAGGAAGGAGGCGGGGTGGGGAGGTTGCTGGGTTTAGAGCCGGGCGGAGACCGCTGAGACTCATTCCTCAGGAACAAGGGTCGGGTGTCAAGGAGACCTTTTCACACCAGCTCCCCGTCCCCCGCCTACGGTGGGTGGGATCGCGCGGCAGAGACAAAAGGATATCAGTAGGGACGGACATAGCTGCGAAGGGAAGTAGGGTGTCAGCTTGGGGTGGTGGGCTTCTGGGGGTGGGGGGCGGGCTGAGAAGGGCTAAATTTAAACTCCCGGAGCCGTTAAGTTGGCTCGTACTTCGATGCGCGCGCAACCAGGGTGGTGGCGGAGTGCGCCTGCGTGATTCCAGGGAGCGAGGAACGCGCCCCAGCCGTGCGCGCTCGCGCCGGAGCGGTAGTGGTAGAGGAGAAAGGGGTCGGCGCACGCGCGGTTGAGTCCTCGAGTTGTTCGGGTCTCGCGGGCATCTTGTTTTGGTCTCGCGGGCGAGTGGGGCGAGCTTTCCGGGGAGGCGCTTGGGCGCGAGACCAGGGGAGACGAGCAGCACTGCGCGCGCACTCGGGGAAGGAGGGGGGGAAGGGAGCGTGGTCTAGGAAGGGGGGTTAAGCCCCCGGCCCCCACCCCCGGTTGCCCTCGACTGGAACGGAATAAGGGGAGGAAATGATAGAGATGGCGGCGGAGAAGGAGCCGTTTCTGGTGCCGGCCCCACCGCCGCCGCTCAAAGATGAGTCGGGCGGAGGGGGCGGCCCCACGGTGCAATCGCACCGAGAGGCCGCCTCCGGGGAGCTCCGCGGCGGGACGCAGCGTGCGCCGGGCCCGCGCGCTCACTCGGCGGGATCCCCAGCCTCTGGGGCCGGCAAGGAGAGCCCCGGGGCTGCATCCACCCCTCGAGGCGGTCAGTCGCAGCAGCAGCAACGAGGGGGCGGCCCCCAGGCGCAGTCACACGGGGAGGCCTGCTTGTCGGATCCGCACGGGCGAGCCGCTCCCCCGGACGTGGGGGAGGAGCGACGGGGAGGAGGCGGAACAGAACTGGGCCCCCCTGCTCCTCCTCGACCCCGGAATGGCTATCAGCCCCACCGGCCCCCTGGGGGGGGTGGGGGCAAGAGAAGAAATAGCTGTCATGTAGGGGGAGGTGGTGGAGGCTTCAAACATCCGGCCTTCAAGAGACGCAGGCGGGTTAATTCGGACTGTGACTCTGTCTTACCCTCCAACTTCCTCCTGGGGGGCAATATCTTTGATCCCCTGAACCTGAATAGTCTCCTGGATGAGGAAGTGAGCCGTGCACTCAATGCGGAGACCCCTAAGTCATCCCCGCTTCCGGCCAAGGGGCGAGATCCAGTGGAGATCCTCATCCCCAAAGATATTACAGACCCTCTCAGTCTCAATACTTGCACTGATGAGGCCCAAGTTGTCCTTGCTTCGCCACTCAAGACTGGTCGGAAGCGGCATAGACACCGGGGACAGCACCACCACCAGCAGCAGCAGGCAGCGGGAGGGAATGATAGCCACTCCGCGCTGCCCACGGCCCCCCCCACGTCCGCACTCCACGGGGAGGGCACCACGCAGCAGCATGGGGGCCAGAACCGGGACGCCCCCCAACCCTATGAACTCAACACGGCCACCAACTGCAGGGACGAGGTCGTGTCTCCCCTTCCCTCTGCCCTCCAGGGTCCCTCAGGCTCCCTTTCAGCCCCTCCAGCTGCCTCAGTTACCTCTGCACCCCCGTCTTCCTCCTCACGACATCGCAAACGACGCAGGACTTCCAGCAAGTCAGAGGCAGGGGCTCGGGGTGGAGGCCAGGGTCCCAAGGAAAAGGGCCGAGGGAGTGGGGGGGGCCGCCACCACCCCCAGCCACTACCTGCTGCAACCTTCAAAAAGCAACAGTGCAAGTTCCAGTATGGGAATTATTGCAAGTACTATGGGTACCGCAATCCTTCCTGTGAGGATGGGCGCCTTCGGGTATTGAAGCCTGAGTGGTTTCGGGGTCGGGACGTCCTCGATCTGGGCTGCAATGTGGGCCACCTAACCCTGAGCATTGCCTGTAAGTGGGGCCCATCCCGCATGGTGGGCCTGGATATCGATGCGCAGCTCATCCACTCAGCCCGCCAGAACATCCGACACTACCTGTCTGAAGAGCTGCGTCTGCCACCCCAGACTTCTGAGGGGGGCCCAGGAGCAGAGAGTGAGGAAGGGACCGCAGCCGTCCGAAAAAGGAGCTACTTCCCAGCCTCACTGACAGCCAGCCGTGGTCCCATTGCTGCACCCCAAGTGCCCTTGGATGGAGCCGACACAGCGGTCTTCCCCAACAACGTTGTCTTCGTCACGGTAAGAGGGCCCCCAGGCTCCTGGGATAGGGGTCAGGCATGAAGATGAGAGTGAATGAGAACATGGAAGGGAGGGTTATAACCCAGAGGGTTCCTGTGCATGACCCCACCCTGGATAAGCCAGGTCCTCAAGAGAATGGTCTGAATCTGCAATTGATTCCATTTTGGTGTATCTGCCCTCCTATAACTTGGAAAGGCAGGGGCTGTACCTGGCGTCCTTGCTCGTGATCAGAAGCCCCAGGATAGGGGCAGGTTCCTTTTGCTTTGCTCCTGGGCAGTATCTAGACCCATCCACCTTCCTTTGGGGGCTGCTGCTCATACTTACTGGGGGATGTGGTCCAGATGAAAACTTGTCCTCCAGCCTTCTGTAGGTGCCTGAAGGGATGGGTGTCAGACACTGAATGTCTTGGGATGGGGAGGAGGGTTAGGGTAGTGGCTGGCTAATTATGTTCTGTCCTTTGATAGGGACCTCATTTGTGTTACACAGTTGATTGTCAGTGGCCAGGAACCCAAGTGACTTGGCCTTAGATCATTACCACACTGACTCTAGATGGTGGGATGGGGAAGTGTGCAGGAGAGTACCGAGTCTTAAGTATCTGTCCCCTGACTGCACATGGGCCCCCATGAAATGCTTTAGTTAGTCCACCTACAGGAATAGTTGGCAGTGTGTTCAGTCACACCCATAAGAATGGACTTTGCAGAGGGGTGGTAATGAGCTAATCATCTAGGTTTCCTGAAGGATGGAGGTCTTCATTTCTCTGGAAAAAAGGAATAGGCCTGAAACTTTGACAGTCCCACCTAGGGAAGGAACCCACAGGTCTCCCTTTCAACCTGAGTTGGGGCCCTTTGCAGAACATTGAATCTCTCAGCTTAAATGCCTGTGGGGTGGGAATAAGTACTGAACAGGATCCTCGGAGAACCCAGCATTCTTTCTCTGTAATTTGACCTTAGTTTTGACTACCTTGTGGATAATTTGCTCAATTCAAAATTACTCAGGCTCCCTCTTATGTTTGATTGGCTTACCACCAATACAGAGCAAGAAAATGAGACAAAGAGGGTACCACTTGGGAGTTGTTTTGAGGAGTGCCAGAGAAGACTGGCCAAGGACTAAAGTGAGGCTGCACAGTGGGTTGTGAAGGGGCGGTGGTTCTTTTTCACCTCTGTGGTCCTCACCCCCAATTCTCGCCCTCAGGGTAACTATGTGCTTGATCGAGACGAACTGGTGGAGGCCCAGAAACCCGAGTATGATGTGGTGCTCTGCCTCAGCCTCACCAAGTGGGTACATCTCAACTGGGGAGACGAGGGGCTGAAGCGCATGTTTCGACGGATTTATCGGCACCTGCGTCCTGGGGGCATCCTAGTCCTGGAGCCCCAGCCTTGGTCCTCCTACGGCCGGAGAAAGACTCTCACTGTGAGTGGGGGCTTCTGTGGAAACTGGGGCAGTCCTTCCTTTAGTTGAGGCAAGGAAGCAGAGACGACTTTCTGAAGAAGGTGAAAAGGCCCCCCCTGGTGGGCCTTATCCTTCACCAGCCGAGAAGGCAATAAGCTGAAGTGGTCCCTTACCTTTCTCCCTAGGAAAGAATCTACAAGAACTACTTTCGAATTCAGCTGAAGCCAGAGCAGTTCAGTTCCTACCTGACATCCCCAGAAGTGGGCTTCTCCAGCTATGAGCTCGTGGCCACACCCAACAACACCTCCAGAGGTAAGGCTGGCTTCTTTTGTCAGGGGAAGGGAAGCCAGTGCCGCTGCAGGGTGCAGACCGGTGGGGTCTGTAGGCCCTGCCAGCCCCTCCTGAGTGCACACTCTTCCCTCAGGCTTCCAGCGTCCTGTGTACCTGTTCCACAAGGCCCAGCCCCCCAGCCACTAAGTGGCCCCTGAACAGAAAGTGTGAAGAAGCTGCCTGCTGCTCCAAAGGACTTAGGGGGAGAGGAAAGTATCTCAAGGTCTTTCCTTTCTGGCTCCAAAAATAGTTTCCTCTCCTGGATCTGCAGAGAAAGCTTTTCCTGTGTTGCTGCCCCACCTTCCCTACACCTCTGGCACCTAAGCAGCAAGCCCAGCTGTGCTGGAACCACCATCTTCCTCTCCCCCAGCCCACTGGGCTGGATGGCATGGACTGTTTGCTGACCTCTGTTCTCCTAGGGCATGGGAGGTGGGGGGTATCAAGTTCTCTGGCCTCTTCCTCCTGTTCTACCAAGGAGAGAGACTCATTTCTCCTTAGCCCTTGTCCTCAGCTGTGTTTCAACGGACCACGGATAGATGGGCTGAGGATTAAGAGGGGGACAGCGGTGGGGAGGCATGCAGGTACTGTGAAAATCCTTCCCTCTGCTGTCCCCCACTGGGAGAGGTGGTTGGGTTCAGAATGTGAGAACAGCACAATAAACTTGATGTTTAGGGCAGTGGCCCCCACACCTGTGTTTGGCACATTGTAGTTTGAGGGGGCATAGATGGTGGCTCCTGGTAGAACCTGTGCTTCCTCTCTGCCCAACCTATAGTCTTAAGGAAGAGAACTGGTTTTTTTTCAGCGGTTGGGAAGACTGTTGAATGCCATTGAGCATGTGTGCTGTGTTGTGTCCCACTCTCTGCTACCCCACAGACTAGCCCACCAGGCTCCTCTGTCCTTGAGATTTTTCAGGCAAGACGACTGGAGTGGGTTGCCATTTACACGGAAGTATAGAGAGAACCCTAAGCCAGGAAAAGGGAGTATAATGTGAATTCTGAAGAATCCATCTACCTTCCCCCAAAAAATCCACTGACAAAATTTGTTTTGTGGAAGCTTTGGGCACAGGCTGACTTTGAAAGAGTTAACCATGGAGTTGAAGTAGAACCAGAAGGACCGCACTTTTAGGACCAGAGTTGGACACGACTTAGCAAGAACCTGCCTGCTCTGCTTCTCATCACTACCAAGTTTCTTGAAAAGGGGGCCAAAACGTTGACTTTCTGGCCGCTTCCAACCTGAGCCTTGACCCCATGTTAAGGCTCCCCAAAAGAGTCCCATTTATTAGCAAAATCACTTTATTCTGATAAACAGTTTCGACACCAAAAAATACGAACTAGCAATACAGGGAGTCCCCAGGTCTACGCTTCCCATCGCCTCAGTGTCCGATGCATAAGGAAGGTATCCTCTGAAGGGCGGGGCCGGAGCTGAAGCCGGAGTGGGGGCAGACCTTCCAGGGTCAGGTGTGGAGATTCATAAAATAATGTTTCCGGATCACATAATATGGTCATGTCTGGCCTTGGCCCAGGTGGCTCCTGTTGGAGCACAAACAAGGTTGCACTCAGGAACGGGAACTCGATCCCTGGCATTTGGGGGCGGGAAGGGGGGTGAGCGGTAGGGGAGGCAGCCCAGGTACCTCACCTTTGGAGGTGGGGCTCGGGCCTGCGGCGGCAGGAGCGCCAGTTTCTCCCTCAGCGCGGCGTTCAGAACCTGTTCCTCCGGCACCTGCAGACTCACCAGGCCTCGGAAGAGCCGCTTGGAGCGCGGCACGTTCAGCCCTGAGACCGCAGGAAGGGCGGAGGTGAGCGGCGCCGCGCATCCCCGCTCCCGCGCCCGGCCGGCCGCCTGCCCGCCTCACCCTCGGTCACGCTCTCCTCCAGGCCGCAGCGGGTCTGGAACGACTTTCTCAGCTGTTCTTCCACGGCCTTCGCGGCATCGAACTGGCCCCCGGCTGCGGCCCTCGCGGCCTGCAGCTCGAGGCTCAGGGCCAGGCTACTCTGCTGCACCGGCACCCCCAAGCCCTGCGGCGCCTCGGGCTTCTCGCTCGATGAGGCGGCGGCCGGCGGCGGCTCGGACCGGACCGGGGAAAGCGGCGCCAGGCGGAAGCGGACCTTGGAGCAGAGAACGGGGCAGTGAAGGAGTGAGCCGGGGGTCGTCCGCGAGCTGGCGACCAAGCTTTCCCCGAGCTCACCTGCCGCCCCTTGCGGGCCCCGCCCCGCCGGTCCGCCCGCCCCTTCCGCCGTCCGGGGCTGCAGTTGGGCTGTCCGCGTCCGGGACTCTCGGACCGCGGGCTCAGGCTCAGGCTCAGGTCCAGGCCGGGCTCTGGCACCGGGGCTCCGGGCTCGGGAGCGCGAGGTTCTGGGGGTGGCCCTGGGACTGCCACGGCCTCTCCCCCTTCCACCGACTCCAGCTGTGACTCGTCACAGACCATCATCTTGCGGCGTCTGTAGCGGTGCGGGATCGCTGGGGGCCAAGGGTCACGGAACCGCCACTTCTCCCCCGCCCTCTCAGACTCCGCTACCGGAAACCGTCAGCCCCACCCAAGGGGGCGGGGAGACCAGCTCCTCACCCGCCCTATTGGTGCGCCTAAGCGTCATTTCCGTTGCCTCCTCCCTCGCCTCCCGACGGGTTTCCGCCTGCACCACCTCGCCCCGCCCCCAGGCCGGCGTTTTAGAGTGCAAACCCGCGGAAGCCCTACGGGTCCTCATTAGGGCCATTTCCATTTCGAAACGAGCTACAGCCTCCTCACCCTGTCCAGTCGTCACCACCTGGCTTCTGCTGGAATCCAGACTGTATCAGTCCTGCCTACCAGGGCACTAAGTGGGACACCTTTAATTAACGGTCAAGCGCCCTTGCACTCGACCTCCCTACTCCGTGCCTCCAGGGCATCTCCGGGTGTTCCATCGCTTCCCTACTCTGACCAGACTCAGTGTGAGTGAGGGCGTGGCTCGCTGACTCCAGCCAGGGTCCTTCCTAGGTGGTGGCTTGGGTGAATGGCCCTTTGTGAATTTTTCCTCTTCGAAGGGCCACTAAAATATTCATCTATAAATTGAAAGAGACACGTGTACCCCAATGTTCATTGCAGCACTGTTTACAATAGTTAGGACATGGAAGCAACCTAGATGTCCATCGGCAGACAAATGGATAAGAAAGCTGTGGTACATACACACAATGGAATATTACTCAGCTATTAAAAAGAATGCATTTGAATCAGTTCTAATGAGGTGAATAAGTACAGAGTGAAGTAAGTCTGAAAGAAAGTAAGTAAGTACAGAGTGAAGTAAGTCTGAAAGAAAAACACCAATACAGTATATTAACGCATATATATGGAATTTAGAAAGATGGTAACGATGACCTATATGCGAGACAGCGAAAAAGACAGATATAAAGAACAGACTTTTGGACTCTGTGGGAGAAGGCAAGGGTGGGATGATTTGAGAGAATAACATGTATATTACCATATGTGAAATAGATTGTCAGGCCAGGTTCAATGCATGAGACAGGGTGCTCAGGGCTGGTGCACTGAGATGACCCTGAGGGATGGGATGGGAAGGGAGGTGGGAGGGGGGTTCAGGATGGGGAACACATGTACACCGATGATTCATGTCCAATGTATGGAAAAAAAACACTACAATATTGTAATTAGCCTCCAATTAAAGTAAATAATTAAAAAAATGATCTATATAAAAAATAAAGATCTATGTTGAGTACTGTTTAAAAAAAAAAAGGCTCAGGGGATTTATCCTGGACCCCTGGACTGCAGGGCAGAAGACAGGAGCTCTCACCTCCTTCCCTCATGTTCCTTGAGGTAGACCCTCTCAGTTCTCTGAGCCTGTTTCTTCTTGGGTAAAAGTAATTTGTGTTCATGACTTTTGAGGCTCTCCCAAAATGGGTTAACAATCAACAGAAATGTTTGTGTACCATTTTAATTTGTTTTCCTATCCATTATCTTCCCAAGAAATGCTGTGGAAGATCAGACAGAATGGATAGTTACCCATATTTTACAAAAGTTTTCAAGGATCTCAATGGGGAAACTAGAAGATTTCCAGCTAAAGTCAGGAATAAGAAAGTAGGCCTATTCCCTCTACTGCAGATCTTCCTCCACTTATGAGGGGGTTATGTTGAAATAAATATAAGTCAAAAATACATATATTACACCTAAGCTACTGACCATCATAGCTTAACCTGCTGCTGCTGTTAAGTCGCTTCAGTCGTATCCGACTCTGTGCAACCCCATGGACTTCAGCCTACCAGGCTCCTCCATCCATGGGATTTTTCAGGCAAGAGTACTGGAGTGGGTTGCCATTGCCTTCTCCGATAACTTAGCCTAGCCTACCTTCAATGTATTCAGAGCACTGACAATACATTTCTGTTGTTGCATGTCACCAAGTTGGTGGCAATTTGTTACTGCAGCCCCGGAAAACTAATAAAGCTAAAGAAAAGCTCTGGGCTGCACCTCAGGCTCAGACCACTGTCCCCCAGTATCTCATCCACACCTTCTTAGAGCATCCCTGTTCCTAGGGGGCTAGGATTGGAGGCTCTATGGTGGGAAAGATTTGGCCATGAAGGACCATCCTTCCTTTGAGGGCTTCTCCAGGCCCCAGAACATTGCCAAGGGAAACCAGGGCCAAGGCAGGAGGAGAAAGCCTGGGTGGTGGGAGACAGGAGAAGTGTTGGAGGCACTGGGGAGGGAAGCCTGGGACTGGGATCACAGAGGAATAACTGTGGGTCCCTCTGTGGGGAGAAGGAAGCAGGAGCCATGACAGTACAGATGGAGAGGTGGCCATGGGGAGGCATGCTGTGTAGAGAGGTTGACAGGGAAGGTTATGTCTAGCCATGCCCATCCAGAGGCCCCCAAGATCTTAAGGTTTTGAGTATGACCACCTAGCTGGTCACCAATCATACTCAACGAGTGTCAGGTTGTCATGCAACCCAGAAGGGTAGTCAAGAAACTGAGGCCTTAGCACTTAGGTTTCCTAAAACCTAAGCTACTAGAGAGCCCTAGGAATCAGGACCCAGCCCCCTCCCAAGTTATTCCCCCCCACACACACACAATGCCAGTCCTTCAACCTGAGAAAACCCCTCAACACCCAGTACATTTCCTACTGGCATCCCAGACTGAAGAAACACTGTTTACTTTGGCAACAAAGGGTTGAGGCTGGCTTGGTTCTTGGCTGAAGGCATAGAGGGGGCTGCAGGCAGGGACTGGGTAGCCCAGCAGGAAGTGAACTTGGTGAAGAAAGAGGTCTTTGATGCCAGTGACCAGTATGCTATGACCACAGCACTCAGATCACCTCCACAGTCCCAGGTCCAAAGTCTGTTCCTGGGGGACAGAGAGAGGAGTAGGAAGGACTCACATCCCATAAAGGACTGGGCCTGGGGTCAGAGGTCAGAGAATCCCACCACCTCCCAGCCCAGCAATACCCCCTTTCTCCTCTTTGGGCTTCAGTCTCCTCATCCGTAAAATGGGGGGGGGGGGGGCGGGGGGGGCGGTGGATGGTGAAGGCTATACTAGTTTATCTCTGAGCAGCTTGTTTTCAGACAATATCCCCCAATATCATACACACACACCTTATTTCAGTCCTTTGCCACCACCCCGGGGCTAGTCCCCTCTCCTTGGCATCTCTTGCAGCCAGCCCCTTCCTCTCTCCCAGGATTCCCACATCTCCCCAGGACTCCAGCATCTGCCCTCTTCTGCCAAAGTGGCCTCCCTATCCAGCCCCCTCCAGCCTCACTCCCGGGAGCAGCAGCAGCTCAAGATAACCAGGTAGAAAGCGCATGCCCACAACAGCCAGGTCTACCAGACACAATAGGAAGTAGCAGGTGTCCTGATACAGCTCAGAAGTGGCAGATGTGGGGGATGCTGGATGTTGAAGATTAGCTGCTCTTTGGCAGGAGAGAAAGCCCTAGAAGCACAAATTGGGTGCAATGAGAGCTTAAGCAGTGGAAGAGGTCAGATCCTCTGCCAGCAACAAGTTGTATGCCAGGGAGTGGAAGAAACGTTGGGGAGATGGCTGCAGGGACAGCAGGCCAGCCCCAAGGCCTACTTTGTGCAAATGAGAAAACTGCCCCTTCCTCAAAGCTCTTTACTGCCCTAATGGTTCTATATAGTGGTGGGCAGAATTGTGCAGCAGACAACCTGCACAGTGGCAAGGGGTGGCCGTGAGGGATGGAGGAGGAAGCTCAGAGAGACAAAAACGGACCCCTGGGTCCAGTCAGAGAGGTGGTGAAAGCAGTGGTCCATGACAAAGGCACCCGCCTGGCACACCTGCTTCCCCTCCAGTGTCACTAACTGGAAACTTGCAGGAGCTGCTGATCCCCTTAAGCCACCACTTACTGATTTGGAAAATGGGGAGGATGCTCTTAGGGCGAGTTGACGTTCCCTTAGGATTAAATAAAGCGACGAAAATCTCGTTCGACAAGTGCCTCAATGGTGGTGAACCTGGCAAGAGCAGCGGGACACCGGAGAGCTGACAGAGAGGCCGACTGTTCCCGGGCCCACGGACATGGTTTCACTAGCTTGTTGAGCTGTTTTAACTATAGGTTAAGTGTCCTGTAGAACCTGTGTCGCCAGTGGCCCATGCCACCATGGGTGAGACGGAGTATTTAAGGGTACGGGGTAGGGGCTCCTCCATAATCCTCCATCGGCTAATGCCGTCGGGGCTGGGGGTTGGGGTTGGGAGTAGACAGGCCCTCGGTCCAGGCTCAGGGGTTCACGAAGGTAGGCCTTCCTGTTCGTGGACACCGCCACGAAACCCCACCCCCGGCGCCATCCCTCCCAGCAGGCAGCGAACTCTTAATCCAGAGGCCCGGGAAGGCGCGGCCAAAGGGCGATGGCGGCGCCGCAGGGATAACGGCTTCCGTGCACTGCCGCACCTCCTGGAGCTCAGGACCGCGGGGTGGCCGGTCGTCCAGCGCTCCGGCTCCATCGCCGCCCCTCTGTCGCCCCCGTGCTCCCCCCACCCCCGCAAGGTCCCCACCCTGCGCTGGGTTCCCTCTGGCCAGGCCTCTTTCCACCCACACCCACCGAACGAGGAGGCACGTCCCAGCAGACCCGGGGCGGAGGTGGGAGAGACCCCGCCTCCCAGAGGCCACGCCCCTTCGGACAGAGCGTCGCCCTCTCAGGGTGACGTCAGAGTTGGGCAGGTGTCCACGTAGGGCACGACCTTCCCTTATTGGACACTCCTCCTCCCCATTCCACAATGACTTCAGGGTAAAGTCCAGATTCCTCCCTTCTCCAGCTAGAAATCCCCCTTCTCCACCCGTGGGGAGCCCTCAGCTCCGCAGGCTGGAGCCGGCTTTGACCCGAAACGCTTTCCGAAATCCCCCCAGGGCAGCCTCTGGTGCCAGGTCCCCCATCAAACTCATCTCAGGTTAAAATATAGATTCCCAGGTCCCACCTTAACCCTTGGCTTTGAGGCCAGGAATATGAAC